GCACCCTACCACTTAAACATGCAAAGACAGAGGGACAGGAAGGGGCTAGGGTCCCCTCCCCATGACCTCACTTCATCCCAGTAGGCCCCACCTCTTAAAGGTTCTACCGCCTTCCAATAGCACCAAAGGTTCCTTAGTGCCTCTGGGCTGAGACATTTTTCAGGGTCTCTTTGGTGGTGGTGAGCTTGACAGTTTAGTGGCAGCCTGGGTAGACGTTTCATAGATACACCTCCGTTGGCGTTTGTTTGCTGTACCTCTCGTGTTTAGCCTGGGCCTGTGGGCTTTAAGGGAGGAAGACCACGAGGCAAAGTGCCCTTCTCAACACGGCGGTCAGGGTTCGGATTATCCGCAGGGCTTATGATGATGTCACGATGGCCACCTGGCTATGGAGGCATCGCTACTGCGAGATTCCTTCCTCACTGCCCCTCTCCATAGCATTCCTTGGAAGCCCCTCACTAAGCGTGGCCCACAGGCATGGGTGGGAGTTCTGCAGGGAGAAATTTTCATAAATTATTTGGACTTCTGCCGTTCTCTGTGCAATTTTCCTATGTTCTCTCTGATTAAAGTCAAGGTTTCCTGGGTTCCAACAGGAGTCCACCTGCCTTTCCCTGAAGAGCAAGGCAAGCCTCTGAGCAGACAGTTCTCTAAGAAAATACTTAGAAGCACAGAGCTGCCGAAAACATGGACCATGGACCAGTGTGGCCCCCATGTGCTTGTGGCTCTGTCGTTATGTTGAAGTTGAGGATAACATTCAGAAACTTTCATGGCAACAAGAAAAGCAACTTTACTGACTCAAGCAGTGAAGAATTGGAACTTGCCCAGTCAGCTCTCTGCATCTCTGAGTTCCACATCCATGGATTCAACCGACTGCAGATTGAAAATATTCTAAGAAAAAGAATTAGCAGCAGAAGGGGGCTGTTGCATCTGTAACCGAACATGTCATATTCCCCAAGCAACAGACACGACACCTAGTTCCATAGATTTACATCGTACCCGCAGTGTAATAACCTGGGGAGGGCTCCAAGCGTAAGGATGTGCAGAGGATCCATGTGAATACTAGATCATTGTATCCAGAAGGGATGTGAGCATCCGGGACTCGGGCATGTGCAGAGGATCCTGGGACCCATCCCCATTGACACCGAGGGACGGCCGCACCTCACACGCTTTATAATGATTTTCCAGTGGCTCATTTTTGTTGTAAAGTATTGGTCCCACATGGAGCGTGGAGAAGGCGGCTGTGGGAAGCTGTGTGGGCCAGATGGTGTGTGCCTTACCAGGTTCGGCTGTTCTAGCTGAACCTTTATCTCTTCCACCTCCCCTTGTGCCCCTAGATCCCTGGATGTGTTGGGGAGGCCTGGGAGCACCAGTGGGCCAGTCTCCCAGCTGTTCCTTCCTTCCCCTGACAGCACTGCCCCATCTTGGAAGCCGGATGGTCCCTCTGTGGTCTGCCCAGGGAAGCTCTGTCTGGCTTCTCCAAGCCTGGCTGCAGCCAGCTCCCTGGATGACCACCTCAGCCCTGCCAGGGAGGCTCTGCTGTCCCCACACTGTGGCTTCCAGGTATTTCCGTGAGCACAGCCATTCAGTTCATTTTGCTGGTGGCCAGAGGACAATAGGAAGGGACAGCAGGAGGAGACAGGAGCCTGGCATTCATGAAGAGTTGTCAATATGGATTTTCACTAATATCTCCAAATTAAGTCATTCACACAGTCATGAGACTGAGCGCAATTGACTCTCAGACGCCCTACTAGGACTTCAAAACAACAAAGAAACCTTGTATGTTGATACATACACTAAATACAGAAGAACACAGAGTCTACGTGTTTCAAGAAACCTATTTATGTAAAAATATGCAATCGCAGTCACACATTTGATACAAATTAAAACGGCTTTTTAAAATATGAACTTGAGCCCAAGGTGAGAAAATGTGCAGTCATTAGCTTACAGACAACCCAATACTGCATTGTCTTCTGTGTCAAGACAGATAGCACTTAATGTACACTGTAAAGTACGGTGACATTATTTCCACTTGTAATATACAAACAGCCTCAAATAATGCCCTTGATAGGGCCAGTGGACATCTGCAGAGCCCTGCTGGGACCATCCCCTTGCTCGTCTTGAGGTCTGTTCTTGGAACCAGTGCCTTTCTCTAAGGAAGAGTCCAGTCTTTTAGTGCACTAGAGTCAAGTTCACCTCTGTTCCTCCCCCAAGCCTAGCTCAGAGCTTGGCACATAGTAGGCGGTGGGCTGGACTGAATTCCCCGCTCCCCCGCGCTCGTGTGGAAGCCCTAACTCCCGATGTGGTGGCGTTTGGAGATGGGGCCTTTGGGAGGAAATCAAGTTCAGACGATGTGATAAGGGTGGAGCTCTTAGTTCAGAGTCTATAAAAGATGCCATCAACCGGGTGGCTTACAAACAGCAGAAGCTTATTTCTGGGTTCTGGGGCTACAAGTCCAGGGGTGCCAGCCTGGCGGAGGCCTGGCAAGGACCCACTTTGGCCTTGCAGAATGACGGCTTCTCACTCTAACCTCTGGTAGTTGTTGGGTGAGGCAGCTCCCTGGAGCCCCTTCCCAGGGGCGCTGACACCATTCGTGAGGGCTCCACCCTTATGACCTAATCACCTCCCAAAGACCCCCGCTCCTGACACAATCAGCATGGGTGTACAATTTCAACATGTGAGTTTTGGGAAGACACGATTTACAATATGTAATTGTAGAACAGACAAATCACCTACACAGTCCCCGCTCCTTAATTCCTGTCTGCTTCACCCCAAAATCCCAGGCCCTCCTAGGCCAGTGGCACTTTGGATCTGTTCCTTAGCTCTGTGATGGCACCTTGAACTCCGCGGTGGTGGCTCTTGCAGCCCTGAGCTGACAGGAGTCTGAAGTCCTTGCTGGAGTGTGATGATGGATTGATTAGCAATGCCTGTCATGGCCAGGCCACAGGAGGGGTGATGGAGCATCTGTGCCAACCTGACTCAGAGGTGCCTGGCATGCAGTTAAGCCTCTGGTACCCACTGGGGCCGCCTCTAAGTGATAAGCGTCTACAGCCCCATCCTCAGAGGCTCCCCCTTCTGTGGGTGCACGATGGTAGGTGGGGGGGAGTGTGAACTTGGTGCTGTGACTAAGGAGCCCTAATTCTGGGCCTAACCCCCAGATCAGAACCTATGCAGCCCACCTTGCACACTGGGCCTGGGGAAACTGTGGTTCAACTCCACAAACCTCGATCAGCACATCCATGGGTCCAGCACCACTCTAGGTGCCTCAGGAGAGAACAGAAGCCTTGTAAGCCCTGAGTTCAAGGAGTCTGCATTCCAGGGAACACATGACCGTGTGGTGAGTGGGCTGTCCCATGACCCAGCTGGAGGCGCTGAGGCTGACAGATGCACAGGGAAGGGGCAAGGCCATCCTGGGAGTCATCTGGGCAGCTCCCCTCAGCTGGGCATCCCCCAAAATCCCAGGGGGAGCAGGAGTAGGGCTGGGGGACGAGTGGAGCTTCAGAGAGCAAGCAAGGGCCACAGCCATGATAGAGGGAGTCAGGCCAGACCTCACTCTGCAGAGCAAAGAAGGACTCAGTCAGCCTGGGGTGGTTCCTACCGGGCAAGGCCAGTGCCCGCTGGAGCCAAAGTCCACAGCAGAGCAGAAGTGGGACTGGTCACAACGGCAGAGCCCAGTAACGGCTGCCCAGGGCTCCGTGTTCCCCCTGCATCGGGCCAGGGCCAGCCCACAGCAGGGAGGAAGCTGGAGGTGACAGGTCAGGTGAAAGCACAGAGGCCCAGTGGGCACAGGGACAGGAGCATCACAGCTCAGTGCGGCCCACGCTGCTGGGAATAGTGAGCCTGGGCAGGAGGGAGGCAGAGAGTGGCGACACACCCCAGAAACAAAGTCGGGGACCAGACGTCAAACCTGACCTATGGAACAGAGCGCTTGGGGTGGGGAGAAAGGGCAGGGGAAGAAGGTGGGGGGAGTCACCCCACAGAGCTCCTCCAACACTAGCAGCCCAGCAGAGAGGTTAAACACCACAGATTGTGGAACTGAATGCCATGGGTTCAAATCTAGCCTCCTTGTCTTTCTGACTGTGTCACTCTGGACAAGTTACTTAACCTCTCTGAGCTTCTGATTCCTCAACTAGGGACAATAATTGTACACCTCATAGGATTACTGTAAGGGTGAGTTAAAAATGTACGAAGCGCCGAGGGCAGTGCGGGGCACACGGCGCTCCGTAAACATTTGCCAGTGTCACAATTCTGTAGGGTCAAGCAGTTTGTACGTTAACAGTATCTCCCCAGTTGTATGGCACAACACCTTCCTTATTTACCATAAGAACCATCAAACAGGTTCTTGTGGGAAATAAAATGGGAAAACATGCCATGTCCTGTGCACATCAAGCATGGCCAGTCCACAGTAAAAACCAACAACCCCAACAAACTTTATTTAGTCCGGCATTTGCTCAACCTGGAGGGTTGTGCGCTCCTCTGCACATCTCGCCTCACGGGACAGTGTTCCACGGGACACCACTTTGGGAAGCACTCTGGGGAAGGGGGTGGGGAGGCTCTGAAAGCAGAAGAAGGGTCTCCAGGAGTCAGCGTTTGGTGGGGACTAGTGCTGGGGAAGGGAGACCAATGGGCAGGGAGAAGGAGGAGGTTTTGGGGGTGATGGCCCCCAGCAGAGGAGAAGGCTGACGTGAGCCCTCGAGGAGAGGGAAGCAGAGAAGATGTGGGGGAAGCGGGGCAGAGCTGACCCTGAGAACTCTCGTTTGGGGAGGGAGGAAGGGGGAGAACGGAGAGGGGATCAGAAGTGGGGCACATCCTTCATTTGCTTTTGTCCCCAGTCTTCTGTCCAGTCACTCCATGGCTTCTTCCTAACTGTGGGGCTGAGTCAGGTGTAAGCCCCATGACTTTCTGGAGGAGGTGCACAGGGAGGCGCAGGTGGAGAGAGATGCATTCTGGGAAGCACAGCCCCCCAAGGACGTGAAGATGACAAAGACGTTCCATCCCCGACCCCACTAAGCGCAGGCCGTGTGGTTGTAAAACCGACAGCAGGTGGCCAGCGCCTCAGGGCTGAACTCCAGGTTGGTGCTGAGAAGAAAGCAAAGCTTACAGTCGGGAGTCCAGGCCACCTCTGCTGGCCATTGCCAGACTGTGCAACCCTGGGACAGTCACTGTGTGTCTCTGGTCCACCCTCCCTCCCCAGGTCAGTCCTCAAACCTTCTGCCTCCCCTGGACACAGCAGCAGCAGCCATAACCTTCCTACCCCACACCCTGGAGCCAAAGGCATCCTGGCACTTGGATCTCCTGCTCCATGCCGGTGGGCGCCCCACAGCCCCGGGCCCAGGCCCCCAGCTCACCTCTGGAAGGCCTGGCGGCAGCACTGGTACACCTCAAAGCTGCTGCTGTCCAGGGTGCTGTTCAGGAGGGGTCCACAGTCCACCTGCGCCCCCCTGGGCACGTAGAGGATCCCTGGGGAGGGAAGGCAGCGGGTGGGCAGGACCCCAGCACCTGGACCAGGGCCAGCCGAATGTCAGGGCCGTGTCTCTGGGCTGCACTCACCTGCCACACAGGCATTCACCAGGGACACGCAGGCCCCCGTGAGGAGCGCACGCAGCACCACCTGGGAGAAGTCCCTCCTTCGCTGGGGGGCCAGAGAGGCTGCAGGGACACCACGGTGTTCGGGCTCAGGGAGCAGGGTGTCTCCCCACATCCCTGGTACAGCTCATCTGCCTGCCCTCCTGCTCTGGGTGCTCAGAGGACAGGTGTCACCTCCCCACAGAGCACGGAGTCTTCCCTGGCCTGGCTTGAGGGCCGTGGGCAGTGCCACCTCAGCCCCACACACCCACAATGGCAGGTTCAGGAGAACATGAGCTTGGGGACCCACAGCCCATTCCTGGCTGAGAGACTTCCCCTCTGCAAGACCCTGTTTCCTTTTCTGTAAAATGGGTTCATTCCACCACCAGCCAGGGCAACTTGAATGGTAGATGCTGTTTGCTCTCAGCTGAGAGCAGGGCAGAGAGGCAGAGGTCACCCTGGGAACTCACATTTGGGAAGGTAGGAAAAGAGGCAAAAGAAAGGGGACTAGGGAAGGCCAGGCATGGTGGTTCACACCTGTAGTCCCAGCTATGCAGGAGGTGTAGGTAGAAAAATCACCTACCAAAAGTAGGTGCAAAAATGCAAGAGGCTACCTGAAAAATAACTAAAGCAAAAAAAGGGCTGGTGCATGGCTAAAGTGGTGGAGTGCCTGCTAAGGCCCCAAGTTCAAATCCCAGTACTGTTGAAACAAAATGGGGGCAGACAGAGGGACCAAGAGTGGAAGGTGCCCTTCATTTACTTATGCCCCCCAACTCTGCTCACTCTCTCATCACCCCTTCCCAACTGTGGGACAGAGGTAGGTCGAGGCTCTGTGGCTTCCCAGAGGACAGCCTGGAGAGGGGCCAGCCCCAGAACAGAAATTGTGGAATTCTAGGGCTGGGAGGAAACTCCATGACCGTGGTGTCTGGGCTTGCCTTAGACACATGGGACAACTCAGGCTTGTGGTCCCCAGCACATTCGGGTCCCTGATTCTCCTGGAGGCTGGGGAAGCTCCTGGGGGACTCACTCAGGCCTCCCAGCATGATCCCAATGGAACTGAAGTTGGCGAATCCACAGAGGGCAAAGGTCGTGAGGACTTCTGCTCTGACCTGGAAATACAGATGACAGATGAGGAGAGGGTACCTGGCCTTCACTGCTTCCTGGGTGACCTTGACCTTGGAGACAGTGCTGCCCCTTCCCTGTAACTCAGCTCAGACTTCAAGAACCTCTCTCGTCTGTCCTTCAGCCCCCTCATCTTCATCCCAGTCTCTTGGGGTGTGATTTAGGCTGGCTCAGTCCTCTCCCTTAGGCCCTCCTAAACTCCGTGTAACGCTCTCAGGCTGAATGCCCTGTTAGGATGCTGTCGGGCTGAGCGTGGAGGGAGTGTGGCCTCCTGGAAAGAGGCCACCTGTGACCAGCTGGAGCAAGTCGGTAGCATCTTTGAGCTTCTGCTTCTCTGTCTAGAGAAATTAGGACAGGGAACACAAGTGCTAGTATTTTGGGACGATTAGTACTTGCCTGGCAGAGAAATACCAGGCATGCCGTAGGGACTTAAACGAGGTAGTTCTTAAAAAAGAATTTGCTGGCGGAGTGGCTCAAGTGGTAGAGCGCCTGCCTAGCAACCGAAGGCCCTGGGTTCAAACCTCAGTCCACCAAAAAAAAGAAAGAAAGAATTGGTTTAGAGCAGTATCTCTCACCATATGTAAAATTACTCCAGCTCAATGAAACATAAATATCCTCAGCATAAAATGATAGAAGAGCTAGAATGATAACAGTTAGAGCTGCAAGGCGGTTATTGCTACCATTTTAGAGAGAGCTAAACTGAGGCTCAGAGAGGAAGGTCACGCAGCAAGGAGGGAGCCGGGGCAGAATTTGAACTTGGTTCTGGCTGACTGCAAAGCTCCTGGTCGTAAGTCCTTTGCCATGTTGTTTAAGGAATTTTAAACTGTCACTGCTACATTAGATCAAAGGCAAACACAACAAGGGGATTGGACTTTGATCACATGATAAAAGCGAGAGCACACAAGGGAGGGGTGAGGATAGGTAAGACACCTAAAAAATTAGCTAGTTGCCCTCAACGCAGAGAAACTAAAGCAGATACCTTAAAGCAACTGAGGCCAATAGGAAAAGGGGAACAGGTACTAGAGAAAAGGTTAGATCAAAAAGAATTAACCTAGAAGGTAACACCCACGCACAGGAAATCAATGTGAGTCAATGCCCTGTATAGCTATCCTTATCTCAACCAGCAAAACCCTTGTCCCTTCCTATTATTGCTTATACTCTCTCTTCAACAAAATTAGAGATAAGGGCAAAATAGCTTCTGCTGGGTATTGAGGGGGTGGGGGGAGAGGGAGGGGGCGGAGTGGGTGGTGAGGGAGGGGGTGGGGGCAGGGGGGAGAAATGACCCAAGCCTTGTATGCACATATGAATAATAAAACAATAATAAATAAATAAATAAATAAAAATAAACTGTCACCACTTGAATGTGACCTGGCCGTCTACCACAGGCCACGTGCTTGAGTGCTTGGCCCCCAGTTTTTGGTGGTATCTGGGAGGTTGTGGAAACTGTAGGGGGGTCTGGGGGGAGGAGGCAGGTCACTGGGGGGGCTGCCTTGAGGGGTAAGCCCTGCCCCCGTTCCTTCTCACTCTCTGCTTCCTATCTCCCATGATGCAAGCCGCCCTGCCCACCTTCCCCACCAGGAAACTCTGAGCCCACATCAGGCTTTCCTCCTTCACATTGTGGGGTCATGGAGGCCAAAGTAACCAACACAGATTCTTACCCAATAGCCACGTACAAAAGTAATAGAAAAAAATCACAGAGGAAAAGATTTGATATAAAATCTGTGTTGAAAAACAAATTCCTGTACACAAAATGAAGGGGGGGGCAGGAAGAAAAGACGAGGAAATCTATAGAAAACAGAAAAGGAGTAATGTCTTTATAATGTAAAGGATTTATACAAATATTGTGGGAAAAAATATTAAGGTACCTTTGCCCCTGCCAGCCCAACTGAACTTTTTTTTTCTTTTCCTGTTTTTTTTTTCCTCTTTTTTTCTTTGAGACAGGGTTTCACTATTCCAGCCCAGGCTGGCCTCGAACATGTGATCTTTCTGCCTCTGCCTCCTGGGTGCTGGGATTACAGCTATGCACCACCATGCCCAGCCTGGATGATCCTTTTAAAATGGGAATCTCCAGTGACTTCCTAGTACTTTTTGCCTGTGCCACCATCTTACGGCTACCACCTGCTCTAGGTAAGTCCACCACTCAGTTCTGTAACAAACCATGAGTGCTTTTCAACCACAGGGCTGTTGCCCAGGCCTCCTCCTTTCTCTGGAATGTTCTTCCAGCCTCTCCTAGCTGCTCCCTTCTCCTTCTTCCAAGTCTTGGCCTAAATGTCACATCTCAAGGAGGCTTTTTCTGACCAGTCCAGCCAAGAAGACCTCTCCTTTTGTTTTTATTTCATACATCTTACTACAAACTGTGCCCATCACTCCATTCTTCTCTTTCTTACGCGTGGCCTGTGTCTCTCGGTCAACGTAAGTCCCACGAGACCAGAGACCACAGCCGTGGAACCTCTCTTTATCTGTGGTGCCTACAGAGTGCCTGGCACCTTCGTGGTCTCTGTGAACCCTGGCCGGAGGAATTAAGTCCATAAAACAGAGGCCATGAGGAAGCTTTCCCCTGATGACCTCTGGGGCAGGGGTGAGACCAGAGAGAGGAAAACGCCTACATCTTACTCCACACAAACTTGCTTTGTAAAGGAAAGAGTATGACCTTAAAAATAATTGAGAAGGTAAGAAGCATTTTCTATCAAAGTTCCAATCCCCTCAAGGAATGCAAGACAACACAGCAAGCTACCCTTTGCCATCAAAGCCACGGAACTTGTTTTCAAATACAGGCTCCCAGTGGTTGCAGGTATGCCCAAGGCACAGCTGGTGGCAAGGGCAGGGGTCATGACCCTTTAGGAGCCTCTTATTCCACAGGCCACATCTGGGGACGCTCCTGAGGAAGTGACCCAAGGGGCAGGAAAGTTCTGTGCACAAAGACGCTCATCTGAACACTGTGTGACACACACGGCCACATGACAGAGCCGATCCACGTGGCCCGATGACAGAGGGTTGGCTAGATATGTCAGAATACATTGAACAAAAGTGAAGTTGGTAGCTGGAGGAGTGGCTCAAGTGGTAGAGCGCCTGCCTAGCAAGTGTGAAGCCCTGAGCTCAAATCCCAGTAACATCAAAAAAAAAAAGTGATGATGGTGGTCTAGGGGTATAGTTCAGTGCAAGCTTGTGCTTAGCATGTCTTGAGACCCTGAGTTCAATCCCTAGCACTGCCAAGAAACAAAAAGTCGCAGCAGGTGTGCTGGGGCACTCCTGCAATCCCAGTACTCAGGACGCTGAGGCAGGAAGGTCAAGAGTTCGAGGTTAGCCTGGGCTACCTAGAGAAACCCTGTCTCAAACAAACAAAAAGATGCACGTGTCATAATAGAACAAGAAAACAAAAAAAAAAACCCCAAACCTGGCCTGCTTAGCAAGCATGAAGCCCTATGTTCAAACCCCAATATCATCACCAAGAAAAAAAAAAATCTAGCTACAATACACCTGGGTGCTATAATAACAACTATGTAAATTCTTTCAAAAAGAAAATAAATAAAACAATAGCTGTTTATTTTAGGATGGTGACATGATAGGCAATAATTTCATTCTTGATAATGTGACCAGAGCCAGGCTTTAATCCCAGCTGCTTGGGAGGCTGAGATGGGGAGGATCACGGTTTGAGGCCAGCCCAGGCAAATAGTTCATGAGACCCCATCTCCAAAATAACCAGAGCAAAGTGGGCTGGAGGTGTGGGTGCAGTGGTAGAGCGCCTGCTTTGCAAATGTGAAGTCCTGAGTTCAAATCCCAGTCCCCCAAAATTATTAACAATCTGCGTAGAGTGTGTGTTCTCTTAGAAAAGCTAATTTTGTAGCACTTTCACAGTCTTTTAGAAGAAATTCTAACAGGAACAGCCAAGTTCCCAAGCGGAAGCCAGCACACTAGGGAGTGGGCAGTGCTCCTCACTGGTTCCCTCTGGGAGCACCCTGGATGCTCCCTGCTTTCCTGTGGGGTGGACATGGCAGGCATTCCCCTCTGCTTAACAGAGAAGAGGCTGACCCCAGGCCACAGCCAACAGTGGCCCATCTCAGCCTCCGCCTTGTCTCAAGCGATGCTCTCCCCACCCTGCAGCCCCCAGGGGCCTAGAGGAAGGAGCAGCAGAGCCCTGAGCCATCTGCCTCCCAGGACAGTAGGGCCACTGCCACCTCAGGGCATCCATCTCAGCTAGGCCCAGGGAACCAGAGAAGTTTCTGCCAGGGGCCCTTAGGGCTGTGTCACCCCCTGCCCAGGGAAGGGACTGGACACTCACGGAGATCCACTGCTTCTTGGTGCCGACCCATTCCTCAGCCCCTGCCAGGCGGCGCTGCTTGTACTGGGAGAGTTCCTGGTAGGCCACAAACTCATTCAGAAACAGCTTGATGCCCAGCAGCTCGGCCACCACGGGGCAGTCCTCCCAGGCCACGCCCATCAGGAAGGCCACCGGTCGCAGGATATAGGAGCAGATGAGCTGAGGGCACACAAGGCAATGGAGGCCAGGGTGAAAGCCTGGGTACCCCACCATCCCCACCCTCCCATCTTCACCACTTCTCCCCCATCTCACCATCTTCCATCCCCCACCCCTCATCTCCACCTTTCCACCTCCATCCCACCATCCCCACCCCCATCCCCACCACCTTCCCCCGGCCCCACCATCCTCCACCCTTTACTCCTCATCCCCACCCTCCCACTCCTATCCTCTCCACCCCCCCCCCTCCATCCCACCTTCCCCGCCCCAGAACCACACCTGGAAGCTGAGCTCCTGCACATCTACCATGCTGCCCAGCCAGGACAGGGCGGCGTTGATGAAGGCTAGCACAGCCAGGAATGCGACCAGGTTAGCAGCAATGTTGGCTACGACCTTCACTGAGAGAGCAGCCCCGCTGCTGGCTGCTTCTACCAGGTTCCGGGAGTCTCTGTTAATAGGACGAACAGGTCAGGTCATTACTGGACTGTCCCCGCAAACAGCAGGGGTCCACACAGGGAGGAGCTTGAACAGCATTTCAGAATCTGAGGTCCTTGCTTTCCCTCTGAGCCACCGAGAGAACGGAGCTCATGGAAGCACTGGGGAAGGGACCCAGGTTTCCAGACTGTGCCAACAACACAGGGCCATTTGTCACATGTGGACATGACCACTTGAGAGAAAGCTGGTCTTAACTGAATGGTGCTGAGTGCAAAACACACCCCCAATTGAGGAATTTAGGAAGGAGGGAGGGAGGGAAGGAGAGAAAGGCAGAAGGGGGCGGGGAGGGGAGAGGAGAGGAGAGAGAAGGGGAGGGAAGGAGAAGGAGAGAGAGAGAGAAGGAGAGAGGGGGGGGGGAGAGAGACAACAAACCAGGCATGGTGGCGTGTGCCTGTCATCTCAGGTGTGCGGGAGGCGCGGGTAGGAGAATGGTGACCCAGGCCAGCCTAGGCAAAAACTGAGGACCCTACCTGAAAAATAACTAAAGCAGAGAGGGCAAGGGGTGTGGCTCGAGTGGTAGAGGCCTATCTGGCAAATGTGAGATCCTGAGTTCAAACCCCAGGTTTGGGGGAGGCCCTGCCTCCCTCCAAAAACATGTTTTTGGATAGGTTATGTTAAGTAAAATACTTTATTAAAATCATGACTATTAGAAAGTGTAAAACGGTAGTGTGGCCCGCAGTCTGTCTCCACAGGACAGCACTGCTCCAGAGCCCTGGGGGTTTGGGGTTGGAGTTACCCAAGTGTCTCGAGCACACTGGTCCAAAGTGCTGCCTTTCCAGCCATTTAAAGATGAAATGTCACTGGGCGCTGATGGCTCACACCTGCAACCCTTGAGAGTCTGAGATTGGGAGGATAGCACTTTGAGGCCAGCCTGGGCAAATAGTTCTCGAGACCCCATCTCCAAAATAACCAGAGCAAAAAGGAATGGAGGTGTGGCTCAAGCGGTAGAGCGCCTGCTTTGCAAGTGAGAATCCCTGAGTTCAAACCCCAGTCCACCAAAGGGAAAACTATTTAAATGTTCCATTAGTTACTGGGGCTGAGAAGACCATAACAAAAGCAGGTGGAAGGCTGGCCCCCATGTGTCAGAATGCGACTGCCACCTGGTGGTGAGAGCTCAGGCACACAGAGAAGGTGGCCTGGAGCCTTTATCTGACTCAACACCAATACCCATACCAGGCCACTCGCCCACACCTGGGCCACACTTAACCAGTCCGCTGTTTCCTGCTGCTGGGGATTAAGAGGTGGGAACAGAGTCAGTGTTTTCATGAGTGAAGCCACAACCCAGAAGGTGGACCTGGGAAGCAGTAGGAGGTCAGGGTAAGGGTCCCCTCTGCCCCTGCCCCCACACCCTACCCCTTGTCCCTTTCATGGGCCTCCAGCTGTGCTCACCCGTAGCTCAGCTTCACTCCTTGCCCGTTCCTGAACTTGGACTCCTCCACCTCAGGGTAGACCAGCTTGGAGAGGGCTAAGGCACAAGGGGCAGCCATCACGGAGGCAGCAATTAGAGAGGCCGCATCGATCTGTGAGAGTGAGAGAGGGCTGTGGGGTGACTGCCCCAAGGAAACGTGTGGGACCATGGAGTGCGGCCCAGGGCAGCAGGGGCACATGTGTGTGCTTCATGTATACACACTAGCATGTATTCATTGTCATTCCAGCTGTCACAGTCATTAACAGGACCTCATATGTCTTCCCAGTGCTTCTATGTGTTGGATAGGGCAAGGATTGTCACCCCACTTTACAGATAGAAAACTGAGGCCCCGAAGGAGTCAATATGACTCGCCCAAAATAAAAGAAGAGAAGGAATTAAAACTCATCACTGTTTTTGGCTCCAAGTTCAAGGTTCTAACTTCCCTTCTAAGGGTGTCTCTCTTTGTCCCATTATCTGCCTTAGCTGAGGTTCTCTATTAACTGAGGGATTTGTGATGGTTTCAGAACCAGTTCTGGAACTTGAGCAGGGATCCATCAAAGAAGTGGCCACATTCCACCCCGGTGTCCCTCACACCCTGGAATGGGGATAGAACCCCTGCATAGGGTCCTTCTTTGAATGCTTGCAGTGACAGGGACAATGCTTCACCCCCACTCCTGTGATTAGGGAATCTTTCTCAGGAAATGTGCCCTCTAAGCAGACTCCAAGACGTGGCTCTGCCACTGGGAGCCACACTGGAAAAGCCATTCTCAGCAAGATGGCGGAGCTGCGTCAGCCCTCTGGCCTCCCTCCCTGAACTTAATCCTCCCCATGACCCAAAGCCCTGGCTTCTCTGTGCTTTTCTACAGAGAGGATGACCCGCTCTTTCCCACAGCTGTGCTACTTACCACATGGCGGAATTAGAACCAACATGAACTTGTAACAATGGGAGCCCAGCTAAGCACTGTAAGGCTGCCATGGAAAACTGTCGTCGTTCTCGAGTCCTCACGATAATGGAGAAAAACACCCACAAAATTACATATAGGCCAGAACCACAATGACAGGGAAAGACAGTGTCCAGAGCTATGTTTAAAAAGAAGACTGGAGAGAAAAACTCCAAAACGTCAACACACTGGCCGTCTCTGGCAATTTCCTTCTTTCCTTCTGCTTTTTGGTGTCTTTCAAAATGTTCACAAAATCAATGTCATTTTTATAAACAGAAAAGTACAACATTTCTCTCCTTAACATTTGTAATAAGCCAACGGCAGTTCTTAAATTGTATTTTTATTTATTTATTGGGTTTTTTTGAGACAGGATCTCACTATGTAGCTGTCCTCAAACTCTGGATCTTCCTGTCTCAGCCTCTCAAAGTGCTGGGATTACAGGGGTGCACCACCACACCTGGCTTTCATTCTTAAGTTGTAAATAAAAAGGAAAGAAGGAGGGAGGGAGGTTTAAGATACATGCTTAGGCTAATAAAAACAGAGGGCCAAAGAAGGCATGTGACATATTGTTGTCATGAAGGAAGGTCAGGAACCAGGCCTGAACTACTCTGAAGCCCAGGCTGGCCTCTGACCAGTTTCGAGGCTTAGCAGTTTCGAGAGCTGGGGACTTCCTCTGGTCCTCTCTCTTTCGAGAGAGACTGAGAAAAAAGAGCTGCATGTGGAGGACACCTGCGGATGCGGGCGAGTGACACCCAGGGCTTTGGAACAAGGGACAAGACCTAGACTGGCATTGCCCAGTACAAATATAATGTCAGCCACACTTCAAAACATAACAAGAGGTGAGCCAGGCACAGAGACTCCTGCCTGTAAACCCAGCTACTCAGGATTTGAGGATCAGGAGGCCAGGTCTGAGGCCAGCCCAGGTAAAAAGTGAGCAAGACCCCATCTCAACCAGCAAACTCGGCATGGTGGTGTGCACCTGGGTCCCAGCTACTACTCAGGTGGCATAGAGAAAGATCATGGTCTGAGGCTCCAGGCAAAAACAAGAGACCTAGAATAGAAGGCCCAGACATAAATCCACCCAGCTATAGCCATGTGTTTCCGACAAAGGCGCCCAAAACACATGTTGGGGAAAAGGCAGCCTCTTCAACAAATGGTGCTGGGAAAACTGACATCCACATGCAGAAGACTGAAATTAGATCCCTGACTTTCACCCACTTTGTACTAATATCAATTCAAAGCCTTAACGTAAGGCTGAAACTCTGAAACCACCGCAGGAAAGAGCAGGGAATATGCTGGAACACACAGGCATAGGCGACGATGACTCCCTCAACAGAACTCCAGTGGCTCAGCAACTGAGAGAAAGGATTGACAAATGGGACCACATGAAACTAAAAAGCTTCTGCACAGCAAAGGAACCAGTCACCAGACTGAAGAGGCATTCCGCAGAATGGAAGAAAATCTTTGCCAGTTATACATCTGACAAGGGATTAATATCCAGAATTTGCAGGGAGCTCAGAAAACTAAACTCCCAGAGAATCAACAACCCAATGAAGAAATGGGCAAATGAACTGAACAGAGCTTTTCCAAAGGAAGTAGTCCAAGTGGCCAAAAAAACACATGAAGAAAGGTTCAACATCCCCAGCCATAAAGGAAATGGAAATCAAAACCATTTGATCCCACCTCACTCCTGGCAGAATGGCTATAATCTAGAACACAAACAAGCCGGTGCGCCTGTAATCCCAGCTACTCAGGAGGCAGAGATCAGGAGGATCACGGTTCAAAGCCAGCCCAGACAAATAGTTCACAAGACCCTATCTTGAAAAAACCTTTCACAAAAAAGGGCTGGCAGAGTGGCTCAAGGTGTAGGCCCTGAGTTCAAGCCCCAGTACCACAAAGGAAAAAGAAAAAAACAACAAATGTTGGCGAGGATGCTGGGAAAAAGGAACCGTGTGCACTGCTGGTGGGAATGTAAATTAGTGCAACCACTCTGGAAAGCAGTATGGAGGCTCGTCAGAAAACTAAAAGGAACTGCCATACGATCCAGCAATTCCACTCCTAGGGTAACCCGAACAGCATACGTCGAGTTACAATAAAGACACCCGCACACCCGTGTTTGTTGTAGTGTTACTCACAATAGCCAAGCTACGGAAACAGCCCCGACGCCCTGAAACTGACGGATGGCTTAAGAAAATGTGGTGTTCACACACGATGAAGTGTTATTCGGCCACACAGAGGACGGGGAATTTTTCCATTCACAGGCAAATGGATGGAACCGGAGGTCATCATGTTAATTGAAGTTAACCAGGCTCAGAAAGTCAAGTCACATGTTTTCTCTCATATGTGGAAGACAGATCCAAAAGACAAACGTACACAAATACAAACGTAACCACATGCACACATAGGGAACGTGTTAGCAATCGTGGGGCTGTCGAGGGGATGAAGAGAGGAAAAGAGAATGGAGTGAGTAATAGTGAAACCCACTGCACCTGTGTAGGATGACAGCACAACGAAACGCACTGAGAGCTGCTGAATCATGGGGTGGCAGAAGCGGAAGGAAGAGCAATGGGTTAATCTGAGTTCAAACCCCAGTACCACCAAAAAGAAAGAAGGAAAGATGTGAAATTACTTTTTAATCGCGTATTTTAATTAACCGATATATTCAAAATGTTTTCTTTCCATCCATCTGATGAATATAAACTTACTAATTCAATACTTTAATTTTGTCTCTGTCGTTTCACAGAACATCTCACTGCAGACTGACCTCATCTCAAGTGCTCAGCAGCCATGTGTGGACCGCGTACCTGGTAATCACCAGTCCAGAGCTATCCAGGTACCAGCAGCAGGAGGCGTGGGCAAAGGGAGCGTGGGACAAAGGGGAAGGACTTAAGAGTCTGGGAGTGCAAGCTGGGCATTTTGAGGTACACCTGTAATCACAGCACCCTGGGGGTTGAGGCAGGAGGAGGATGGTGAGTTTGAGGCCAGCCTGGGCTACATAGCAAGACCCTGTCTCAAAAAAAAAAAAAGAAAGAAAGAAAAAGAAGCTGTGAGGTTGGAGGAGAGAGCAAGAGGGACTGTTCTGGAGTTCAGGGGCAGAGCCAGAGTTGAGGAGTGGACTGGGAGAGGGAGTTAAAGGGCAGCACCAAGAGGAGAAGGCGGTAGAAGGATGCCCAGCTGGAGCAGTGGCAGCTGCAGCGGCAGCTGAGAGCCAGGTGGGGGCAGAAGAGAGCTTCTCGGGGTCAGGAGTAAGAGGCCAAGCCAGTGGTCAGGGCAGAGTAGAGGGGAGGAAGGTGGCAGGTGCACCCTGGCCAGCTGTGCTGTAGCCTGGACTTCCAAACCAGAGGCTCTGGGCCCTGGCTGTATCTGTGCATGCTGCAGAGCTAGAGGGAAGGGGGCACCCAGTCTCTGGCCGCCATAGGCTGCCCTGCCCAGGTGGATCTGGTCTCTGAACTGAGACGGGGAGGAAGTGGGCTGAGTGTTAAGTCACTGTGTCAGAGGAGAGAGCTCCTCCAGTACGGGTCCCCAACTTAACAATGACTCAGGTGAATGGTGTTTGACTTAACAGTGTGAAGGTGATTTGAATCCACAGGCCAGCCATGGGGACAGCAGCAGTGGGCTGCAAATCCATGTGAGCTGTCACAGGGCCAGCCCAGCCCAGGCGTCAGTGCACTGTGCAGCTTAGAGAAGGTTAGGTGTATTACAGGCATTTTAAACTTACGATGGATTTGGGTGGGGGGAGAATGTTGTCCATTGTAAGTGGAGGAGCGCTAGTATTTAAGTTTTTTTTTCCCCCCGGCTGATGCTGTTGGGGTTTGAACTCAGGGCCTCTCGCTTGCTAGCCACTCCTCCTCCTGTAGTTAAGTTCTGAGCAGTGACAAGAGGTCCCAGCAACACTAGGAAGAAGACCAGGGAGGTTCTTAGAACCGGCTGTGAGGCCCAGGTGAGGTCAAGGTATACAAAGGCCCTAAGTCCTGAAAATGGCCTGGTATCCCCTCCCCAATATTTCACCCTAAAAAAAAGTTTAAAGAACAAAGTTTGGGATTTATGTTTTTCAAGTGTCAAATTCCTTCCCTCAAAAAAAACATTGATGCCAGGTGCCGGTGGCTCACTCCTATAATCCTAGCTACTCAGGAGGCAGAGCTCAGGAGGATCACGGTTCAAAGCCAGCCCGGGTAAATAGTTCACAAGACCCTATCTCAAAAACTCCCATCACAAAATGGGCTGGCAGAGTGGCTCAAGGTGTAGACACTGAGTTCAAACCCCAGTACTGCAAAAAAAATAAAAAAAACCACTGGTAGTGGTGAACCCTTCCTAGGCCGTGGTGTGACAGGATATCCACAAGTGACAGTCTCTAGAATTCTGAACAGAGGTGCTAGGTCGGACAAAGCCCAGCAGGCCTGTGAGGGGAGCTGAGCTCACAGGTGTGGTCCGTAGTCCTGAGTGAAGGATGGAGCAAGAGGAGGCCAGCTGATCTTTCACCACCCGAGGACAGGGATAAGAGACCGCGGGACCAGAGAATGGGACACCACGGGCCATCGTGCTGTCCCTCTCCTGTGCACACACAGCACCAGTGGAGCCTGGGGGCAGGCGGAGGCCGGTCAAGGCCGAGAGGCACTAGGAGCTCCCTCTCTCCAGGGGCTGAGTGGCGCTGCACTGTGCAGATAAAGTCTCTCAACTCACGCCACCGTTGGACAGTTGGGTTGTTTCCAGTTTTATTACTATTATAAATTTGAAAGGTTGAAATTTTGAATATTTGTGAAACTTTTTTTTTTCAGACAGGGTAGCCTAAAACTCACTATGTAGCACAGATTGGCCTTGAACTCAAAAACCTCCTGCCTCAGCCTCCTGAGTGCTGTGTGCCAAAATACCTGGCCCTTGTGAGACTATTCCTACATCAAAATATTCCTCACCGGATCAGGAGATTTTAAATGGACTGACAGATGTGTTCTATAAAGTTCATACCAATTATACCGCCCCCCGAGAGAATGAGACCCCCACACCTTTGCCAGTTAGAGGCACATAATATGCGCATAATGTTAAAAAAACATAAGGTATTGCTTTAATTTCTTTGACCATCAGTGAGCTCGAGTATCTTTTTATAATTTATTAACTGTTTTCTCCTGGTCCATACTTTTTAAGCGCAGATGCTCCCTGACTTGCGATGGGGCGGCATTCTGATAAATCAATCGTTAATTAAAAATAGTACAAGTCGAAAATGTGTGTTTAATTCACCTACGCCGCTGAACACCCTAGCTTCGCCACACAGAACACTGCAGAGCACCGACTGCTTCCTGGGGATCTTGTGGCTGACTGGGTGCTGTGGGTCGCTGCCGCTGTCCGGGATCCAGACAGCATGGTCTGAAATCCCAGCTACTCGGGAGGCAGAGATGGGAGGATGGAGGTCTGAGGCTGCAGGGCAAAAGCACTCGCCTAGCAAGTGGGAGGCCCTGAATTCAATCCCCAGGACTGAGGAGGGGAGCAATGGAGGGGGGAAGGGGAGGGAGAAAGAGAGAAAGGAGAGGGGAGAAGGGAGGCGAGAGAGACAGAGAGAGGAGAAGAGAACAGTACTCCCTATATCTAGCCAGGAAAAGGTCAAAACTCAAAATTCAAAGTGTTATTTCTACTGAATGTGTGTCACTTTCATACCATCATAAATTCAAAACTTTTAAGTCTAACCATGGTAACTCAGGGACTATCTGTAGTGATATTTTTATTAGCTCTGCTTAATTTTTCCTTTGTGCTTCTGAATCTTATATCATGATCAGAGTGTTACAAGAAAAAAGTAAGTTACAGAAAACTACTGGTAGGATTTTCTCATCTTTTATATAAAGAAGGAAATCAGGCATGGTAGCAATCCCAACACTTGGGAGGCTGAGGCAGGAGGAGCTCAAGTTCGAGGCCAGCCTCGGCTCCATAGCAAGCAAAACCCTGTCTCAGAACAAAACAAAACAAAAACAACAGTAACAATGAAACAACAACAAAAAAGCAAATATGTGAGCTTTCAAGTATAGAGACTTAAATGACTTCCTTTCCTCAGAAGGATCTGGAATGACATATTTTAAGTCAGTGACTCTCAAATGGGCTAGCATCAGAATCCTCTGGAAGGCTTGTTACAACAAGAATGCTGGGCCCACTCCCAGGGTGTGATTCAGCTGCTTTGAAGTGGGCCCAAGAACTTGCATTTTTTTGGCGGTACTGGGGTTTGAACTCAGGGCCTTGCGCTTGCTGGGCAGGTGCTCTATCTGAACCACACCTCCAGCAAGAACTTGCATTTCTCACAAGTTCTCAGGTGATGCTCCTGGTGCTGGTCCTTGGACCACACTTTGAGAACCATTGTTCAAAACTTTACTCACTTCCATACAACCAAGACACTCTTTGATAGTAAAAGAAAGAAATAGATCTTTGAGGATTTGCTGTAAAAGCACAAATAGGTAGGAGGTATTTTTGGATGCAAAGCGTTAATACCACACTCTGTAGCAGATACCCGGATGCATTTGAAGATTTGTCTGCCTGCTGGGCTGCAGTGTTACAACTGGTTCAAGGGCCAAGTTCACAGCCCTGGAATTTGACCTATGCATGCTTTGCACCAGGTCAGTGACTCAAGCAACAATTCAGGAGCCAAGGATGACCTGAGCCCAAGAGCATGTATGGAGGTGTGTGGGGTGGAGTGGGGGAGCAGGACAGCTGTCCAGAGACAGTGGCAGGTGGGGGGAAGGAATATGGAGAAATGAACATGAGTTTTAGAGTCAGAAACATCTGGGCTCAGATCCCAACTGAGGCATTCTTTATTCTCCGACCTCATTTGGGAAGTGGGTTCCTTAAGACATCTAGCACCTTGCCTGGTATAGTAAATGAAGCACTGGAATCTTTGTCCCCAGTGGCCGTGTGAGAAGACAAAGCAATTGTCCCACCCACCAGGTCTGCTCACCCAGCCTGGCAGCCAAGCTCCCAGCCCGACCCAAGGGAGAGCATCCCGGGCTGCTCTAGCTAGAAAGCATGCAGGGCTCCCACAATGCCGGGTTTCAGGGCCTTGGCATGGCTCAGCAGAGGGACGGCTCCACCTACCCCAAAGGAGATGTAGGCACCCAGCAGGCTGCCAGCGATGGTGGCATAGCCTCCAGTCATGACAACATGGACTTCAGAAAGTGTCATATCTGCCAAGTAGGGCCGGATCAGTAGAGGAGCCTCGGTCTGCAAGTGGAAGTTGGTAGACAGGTTGAGCTTGGGTAGTAGAGCGCTCCCCAACTTCACTCCCCACCCACTGGGAATGGTGGTCCCTGTGAGTGCTGGGGGGACCCAGGGGAAGAGATAGCACAGTGGGGTGACTGCTGCAGTCCCCACCTGGCTGAGTCTCTCAGCACCTCAGGGTCTGACACCTCTGCTGAGGGGCCCTGGGCCTCCCTCTCAGTTTGAAAATGCTCCCCCAGGTTGACTGCCTGCGGGGCATGTGCCAGGCCTACTGGGCACCTCACCCTCACCACCCACAGCCTTCAGAGACAGAGCTGTCATCCCATTCCCCAGAAGAGCCAACAGAGGCTCAGAGAGGTTCTGAGAACGACCACTGCTCCCACCAAGGGACAGGAGCAGGTGCAACTCCAGGCCTGAGGGCAGGGGTTGCCACAAAGAAAGGAGCAGGGGCATTGGATGGTGCTTGCCCCAGGGCACATGGGGAAACTGGAGCCACTCCTCATTCCTCAGTACACAGTCACCAAGCACCTGCTGTGCCAGGTACTGTTCTGCAGGATGGGGTCACAGGGGTAAACAAAAACTCCTCCCCTGGGAGCAGTGACAGGAGGAAGGAGGTGGAGAATCTGCAAAGAGCAGATGGTGATAAAAGCTGTGAAGGCTCTCAGATGTGGAATTCAGCAATATTGTGAAACACAGGTCACACGAAGCGGGGTTGCTCACGAGAGGGGGAGGGTAAAAGAGGGAAACTGAGAAGCTGAATATGGGTGATATACTCTGTACAAGAATGAATATAGAAATCTGAACCGACTGAAACCACCATAAGAAAGGGACTAAGGTAGAATGAAGACAACTAGAGGGATGAACCAATTGGGGTATAATACATACATACATGGAAATATCACAAGGAAACTCCCTGTGTAGCTACCTTTATCTCAAGCAAAAATGTCATGTTTTTTTTTTTTAATCTTTTCTCTTCTGCAAAGTCAAAGAACAGGAGGTCAGAACAGGTCCTGCCCAGGGAGGAGGGGTGGCATCAGTGGGAGGGGGGAGGTGGCGGGGAAAGGGTGTGGGAGGGTGAATATGAGGCAAAAAATGTGTACACATGTATACAAATGCAAAAGTGACACCTGTTGAAACCGTTCCAGGAATAAGGGGAGGAGGGATAAAGGAGAGAGGTGGAGGGGGTGACTTCAATATGGTGTATTTGATATATTGTAAGAACTTGTGTAAATGCCACATGCACCCCACCCAGCACAATAAAGGGGGGGAAAGCTGTGAAGACATGGATAGAGAAGCCTCATGGTTGGGGTACTTAAAGGGGGGCAATGAGCAAAGGCCTCCCTAGGAGGAGTAAGGGGGAGGGCTGCGGTCAGCTGAGACCGAAGGAGCCAAATGTACAGGTGGGAGCACAGCATTCCAGACCAAACCAACAGTAAGGTCCTGGGCAGGAATGGGTGGGCCAGTTGGAGAAACGCTGGGGGAGGGGGCAGAGCGTGCATGGGGTTGCTGGGAGGGCGGCAGAGGAAGGGAGGACGGCTGTCTTTCTGTCTGGAGCACTCAGAGAGATGTTCCCAGTTACTGAGAAGAGAGGCCGGAGTGGGGAGGCTGTAATGAGGACTGAATTCAGATCCTGTCTGTTAGGACTTAGGGCATCACGTCCGAGCAGTCCTTAAGATTCCAACAGAAGGGTCACAGGACAGGTTGGATGTGTCAGTCCAGAGTTCAGAAGACAGCTCAGGGCTCCAGAGGGGGACAAGGGAGACATTTAAATAATTTAAAGCCATGGGCTGCTGTGCTCCATTTGGGGATGTGGGGGGCAGACCCACCACGATTACGGGTTGAAATGCTGCTGCCATCCTAGAAGGATCCCTGTGCCCTCCCCTTGAGGGAAATCAGGCAGAAACCCAGGGGCTCCAGGACAGCTTGACTAACAACTTGTCCAAGTTGACCTGCCCTGGGAGCCTTTTATGTCACCCAGTGTCACATATGTGACCACAGTTCCTATTTTCTCAGCAGAAACATGGACTATTAAAATGACAGCTTTTGTATTTTGGGGTCCTCTTCCTATTAGGCCTCATTTCGAACATCTTAAGTTATTTGGGGGACACTTATCTGAGAGCACAGCTATCTTAATTGCTGAAATCAAACAAAAAAAAAACTTTTGAAACCAACATACCGTACCACAGCAAAACAAGACAGGAAGATCCCCAAATATTCCTAAACTATCCAATAAAATGTGGCATCGTTTGACAAGTGACTCAAATGTTAGGCAGAGCGGGCAGGACAGACGTGGAGCAGAACTTCCGAGTCTCCCATCAAGAGGGTCAGGCCTGAAGGGACTCAGGACTCACAGAGCCTTCACAGTCACAGTTACCTTGGTAACTGTTTTAGTGTCAGAAAGAAAGACGCAAAGACAAACTAATGCAACGGAGTGGACCCTGGCCAGGAAGAACACCTGGATCCTGAGCTTGGCTTATCCTTGGGACACCCTGGCCATATTATTCCCATGCCCCCAGCCTCAGTTTCCCCCTGTAGGATCTGTGAGTCTCTAAGCTGATGAGGACAGCTTAGGGCTAGAGTGGTGGCAGGAGACAGAGGTCTTCTGTGGCCTGACCCAGGCATGGCATGCAGCCCCCACTGGAGCATCCCTAGGGTGGCAGCGTTTGGTGACCTGGGGAGAAGGTTCCAATGGCTCTTCCTGGGCTTACTCGGAGCTCCAGGGGCTGGAGACCCCTGCTGTCTCTGGAGAAGACATGGCACCCACCTGACTCACAAAGATGTTTCCTGCCACACTCAAAGTCTCCGTGGCTGTGGTGCCCATGGTGACCTGCATCAACCAGGCAATCTGGAAGGAAGCCCAGGGTCGGAGAGAGTCAGGGTATAAGGCGTTGCGGTCCTCCAACTCCCGGCCCAGCAGGGATCCTAATGTAGTTTGAATATCCTTCCCAAAACTCGTGTTGAAATTTGATTTCCAAGGGCTGGGTGCTGTGGCTCACACCTAATAAACTCTTACTTATAAATTACCCAGCCTGTGGCATTCTGTTCCAGCACCAGAAAGCAGACAAAGATCCCTCACCTACATTTCTTCCAAAGGCCTGCTTATCTTCTCCTCCACACCACCATTGCAGGACGCTGACCACGTCCCAAGGCCACCCATTCCGTATGAGGGCGCCTCCAGCCACTAAGGCAGAGCCCCTGAAATGTGTGGCCTCGGTGCAAAACAGATTCCCTGGGCAAATGTGTTTGAGAATGGCTGCGTGTGCGCTTGGCGATTGCCGGTACACATTCGCTCAGGAAAGGGCTAAGTGACACAAGTTTACGTTTGGTTAGCCTTGGGTCTAGCCTGGTTTCCCCGTTATCCCACCAGGTGTGCTCACTAACGTGCTAGAAAAGGCTTTGGGAAACACTGTCAGAAAAGCCCTTTCCTTCAATCAAGATGAAATCTGCCTTCTCAAAATTTCTCTCCACTGCTGCTATCCCCCAGGTCACCTCCTCTCTTCTCTCTCTCTCTCTCTCTCTCTCTCTCTCTCTCTCTCTCTCTCTAGCTTACCTGCCCCTCACTTCCCCTTGTCCCCCATCATTCCTCACTCTTCCAACCACACCAAGGAGGGTGTAGTTTCGAGCCCTTTCACTTTCTTGCTCCCAACTCTCTTTGTCTGAACCCACGACTATGACTGAAACCACTTTCCAGATCCAGGGACAATCACCTCCCTCATACTAGCAGTGTGTGCTCTTAACCACAAGTTGGGGCTGGGGGAGTGGTCAAGAGGCAGAGCACTGGCCTAGCATTTGCAAGGCCCTGGGTTCCTCCCCAGTGCCACAAAACAAACACGCAAACATCAAACAGTTGTGTCGGCACTCCTGGAGGGCCACTTGTGCTGATTTATTGAGTGTCGTCAACTAAAATCAATGGCGTCCGATGCTGTTCTCTATCCTGGCTGTAATTCAGCAGATGTAGTTATAACATAGCACGGGATATTACATCAGCTATGTCTGGCCTATGTGGCCCTCTGTTACAATCTCTCAAGGTCTTTTTGGTATATTATTTTTCCCTGAACACCTCAGTTTACCTTCCCTCACAGAGTCCACATTGGATTTTGGTTCTATTTGTCTTTAGTGTCATGACAAGAGATCTTGTAAAAGGCTATTTTGACAGCAGTAGATTCTGGAAGAATATGGACTGTGGGAGCAGGGGATTCTGGGAGGGTACAGACATTAGGAGCAAGGGATTCTGGAAGAATGTGGATTGTAGGTGTGGGAGAGTCTGAAAAGGTATGGACCTTGGGAGCAAGGAATTCTGGGACTATGGAAGCAGGGGATTCTGGGAAGGTTGGACCCTGAGGCCAAGGGACCTGGGATCTGGTGACCAGGAGAGCTGCCATGGGCACTGGGAACTTACCTTTAGGATCACCCACTGCATGAGGCCCACGTGGTAGAGAATTGACATGACGCAGCTGAAGAAAACAATGATGGGCAACACCTGTGGGGACAGAGCGCAGGGGACCCTGCTCAGAGGCAGCCAGGGGCAGGTATGAGGCAGAGCCCAGGCACCCCAGGTGGCCCAGTTGGTCCATGGTTCACCTGTCTGGAGACCTGGCAGGTGCAGGAAGTTCCCAGGTGTGCGATGTGGGGCCTCTCTGGAGGCTCCTCTGCCGTCTCAGTACTGACCATTTGTCTACCTACTCCCACGTCCACAGACAGCTGTGCTGTGCGGGGAGTGGGGCCTGAAGGCTTGTTACCACCTGCCTCTCTGTCTCTACATAGGATCAAATGTCCCCTTACTGTGTCATGAAGGTTAAAGGTGCTGTTCAGGCCTGGCACCTTGCACAGTGTCCTCTCCTCCATGGGTAATGACTCTAGCTTTAGCTTTCAGCCTGAGAGAAAGGCCCCTCATCGTTTGGGCACCCACGTACCCCCAGTGCCAACAAGCTTGCATGACACTCATCCCGGACCTGCAAATGGCACCTTGTCCTGTCATCCCATCTCCTACGGCCAGCTTGTGTCCTGTCACCCCATTCTTACTGCCAGCTCCTCATGCTGTCACCACCCTCTCCTTCTGCCAAACTTACATGTCATCTACAGAGTTTAAAAACCTGTGGCACAGCCACACAATGGTGTGCTAGAAGCCAGAAGTCAGGCAAGAGGAACGAGGATTCTCTCTATGGGGACGTGTGTGATAATTCCAAGACAGGCTGTTGAACGAGCAAAGGGGTGTGCTGTGCTATTCTGCAGATCGCATTGTGTGTGGGCAGAGACGTCACTAGAAGGACATGCGGTGACCAGCGATGGCAGGTGCCTTGGGGAGCTGAGGTGGAGTGGGTGCTTCAGGGACTGAGGCTGAACAACATCAGCTTTTCCCTTGTGCCCTGCTGCATTGTGGGGATGTTTGCTTTGCCCATGTGCAATCCTCCCCAGGGTCTTAAAGAGAGCAGTTTTAGCAGTACGCAAAATTGGTAGTCCATGAGAAAGTTCTTAGGTTAAAAAGTGGGAAACTGGGATATTAAACATAAAAGGACCCGGAAGGCCGAGCTCCCAACACAGTCAAAGGACTTGCTTCTGAGCACCGAGGCTGTGGGAATTTGGGGTTATTTTTTTCTCCTTTCTGAATTCCCCATTTTTTCTATAATTTTCCATAATAGGTGAACATTTCTCAAAAGGAAAGGGGCAAACCCAGAGAAGAGGTCCGGGGGGTTACAGGGAGGTCATCGATTCGGTTTTGAACTTGACAGCCTTGAGGTGCCCGTGGAATTGGGATGGGAGGAGGAGGGAGAGCAGCTGGATTGAAGGATTGGGAGCTGAGTGGGGCGATCCTGATCAGGCGTCAGTGTGGGTGTTGTCCATAAGAAGTTCAAGGCGAAGGGAAAGGGTGCACATGAGTCACAGAGAGTGGCTGGGGTGAGCAGAGAGAGGACAGGGCCCTGGGGTCAGCATGGCAGCAAGGCAAAAGGAGGAGGAGCCCCGGGGAACTGAAGGTGTCCTGAGGTTGGCCAAGAGAGGGTGTTGCGCAGAGCTTTGGTCAGGTAAGGCCTGAGACAGACCCTTGGCATGCAGCAATTTCTCCTGGAGACAAATGTGAGGCGGTGTCAGAGGAGGGGTGGGGACAGAGGCTGGATGATAGCCAAGCAAAGAGGGAAGGGACGAAGGGTCCAGAGACAGAGAGCACAGGCAGTCCTTGTACCGGGAGTGGCACAGCGGGAGAGACTGAGATAGGCACAGGTTGCTTCTGTGTTTGCAGAACTGAGAGTTGAGCAAGATCACTCAGGCTAGTGTTCAAAATGATTCAGGATTTTGGGAGGGCCCCTAGGACAGCCCCAGGTGGCTCAGAGTGCTGATAAGAAGTAACTCCTGCTCAGGAGTTCCCCTCACCCTTCCTGGACCAAGCACAGGCTTTCTCTGGACTGGCTGTCCTCCACATCTGTCACCAATGTCACCGCAGCTGGGGCGGGGGGAATAACCTGAATACAGGCACTGGCTCCAGAAAGTCTCCTCCTGCCCTGTGATCCTCACGGCCTGGGGCTGGAAGCCCCCCACCCACCCACAGCACGGGAAGATGACGTCATTCTGCCAGGAGCCAGAGTGCAGAGGCTCACGTAGGGTCCACACAGCCCAGCCCATGCGCTCAGTCATGCGCGGGAGGCTGGCAGGCTGCAGAGACGGCTTAAGGCAGGCGGACGTGCAGGCAGCAGGGCCTGGCTGCAGAGTTGCACCAGGAGACATTTGCTGTCTGCAAGATGGGGATTTGGGGTGGAAGGGAAGCTGTGCTTGGATTAAGTGGGGACAGTCGAGGTTGGGAAGGGAAGCTGAAGAGAGGTTACCTGTGATTTTTAAGATGGGAGAGTTAATACTAGAAATGTTCCTGTGGTCAATATGACCTTGTCAACCCAGGAAATATCTTGGGGCCTGCAGTGCATGGGGTGACAGAACAGGGCAGGCAGTGCAGGGCAGTGCTGCTGTGGAAGGAAGAAGGAAGTGTCATTCAGTCCTACTATGTGCCTGCTATGAAATCCTGCTATGTGCAAGGTACCCTGAAATTTGTGCTCAAGCCAGGCACCGGTGGCTCACGCCTGTAATCCCAGCTACTCAGGAAGCAGAGATCAGGAGGATTGCGGTTCAAAGCCAGCCCAGGCAAATAGTTCCACAAGACCCTATCTTGAAAAAAGCCCTTCACAGTTGGTAGAGTGACTCAAGATGTAGGTTCTGAGTTCAAGCCCCAGAACCACAAAAAAAAAAACAAAACGAAAACTTGTGCTCACTAATATGGCCCCTTAATCACCGAATAGCACCTTTCAGTCCTTACCTTATTTGATCTTTGTGTGAGTACAAAGTTTGGCACTGTTGACGGCTGGGGGTCAGAGTCTGCCTCAGGCAGATACCCCAAAACTCTGGGGAGATAAAACTACTCTCCTTCACCCTAAGGTCTCCCCGGGGAGCATCTGAGCAGTGCTTTTGAGCTTAGCAGGTAGACACAAGCTCCACAGGCTGGAGGATCACGAAAGGGTGACGCAGGAGGTCGGCCATGACAAGGATGGGGACACAGGAGCTGGGGGAAGGGGTAGAAAGTTACTAGAAGGGAGGGGAGGGCGGGAGGTGTATGTGACCAATCAAGTCAGTCCAGCCAGGAAGAGGCCACCACGTCTGCTGGACTCCAGGCCCAGGGCAGGCAGGAGGCTGTAGCCATCCAGGGAAAGACTCTACTTCCTGGAGGAGGGGTCAGCTGGACCTCAGCCTGGCAGGAAACGCCTGCGTTGTGAAAGTCTGGAAGCTCAGGGAGGACTTCCCCAGGCTGACCTTGGCTGGAGACCTTGAACTTGAGCCATGTGACTCACAGAAAGAACAGAGGAAAACTCATCCAGCTGAGCAGCACCCAGCACCGCAGCCCCACCTGGAGGGCAAGTGCCACGCTTGGAAAGTGAGCATGTGTGCCTGCGTGTGTGTGTGTGTGTGTGTGTGGTGTGTGTGTGTGTGTGTGAGAGAGAGAGAGAGAGAGAGACAGCCAGACAGGTGATCCAGATGGGGTATCTGTGAATTACATCTTGTGATTAGTGACTCTTGTGAGAGAGGGAACTCCTGGCCAGGGAGCGTTTGCCTTCAGTCTTCCTGGCATTGCTAAGGATGCACTGCGTGACACACTAACCATGAATTTGTCCAGAGGACTCAACTTCCCAGGGGCCAGGAAATTGCTAGTGTTTGATTATGAAATGCTCAGCCTGGTTAATGATAACCCTCCTCTCTCCTTACTTCTCTCTCTAACTGGATATCACTCCTCCGAGTCTTTTGCTACCACAGATGCATTCTTCTTTTTCCTTCCTTCCTTCCTTCGGCAGTTCTGGGATTTGAGTCCTGGGCTTGCCAGGCAGGTGCTCTTCAAATGTGTTTTCAGAGGATCTCTACTGTCATCAAGGTGCTTTTTGGTTTGTAAGTGAACCTTGGTGGTAGCTTAAGACAGGAGGAAGGAGACCTTGCTCGGTCTAGCCCCACCCTGCCATGCTGGGTGCCAGTGGTGGCTCCCTGCTCCTCTCCAGGCCTTGGTGGGACCCTCTGTAATACAAAGCCACAGAAACCCTCCTTGCATTAACAGTCAAGGGCCTGGAGGTCTTCAGAGGTGACTTAGAGGGATGCAAGTTTCAGGCAGTGTACATTCGTCCACAGTGAGAGGAAATGACTGGCACTAGCAGGGGAACAAAGGTAGCCAGACGCAGCCCAGGGATGCTCTCAGCCTTGCAATGGAAGAGAAGGGAGGAGCTCTGGGTCCTCCACCCCCTGCTTTTGCTAAAAAAGCTGTCATTTCTTTGGAGAAACCATCCTCTTCCACTCAGCCTAGGGGCTCCAAGCTTCAGTTCAGGCTTACACTGTACAAGAAGAGCCCACTCTGGGCTTCTCTCTCTCTCTTTTAATCTCTTTCTTGCTCTCTTCCTTCCTTCTCACAAGGTTTCTAAGTTGCATAGAGATAAGCCTACTGTTTGCTACCGCATCAAGAGAGCCTGCTCAAGACTCAATAAAGCTAATACTGAGAAATCAAGAGCAGGACATGAATGAGACAGATCCCAGGTGATGTGCACCTGGATCCAGCGGAACCTGAAGGCTCTGAGCATCCCAGTCCCCTCCTTAGGTCATTTTGAGTTGTCTTTCTGTCACTTAAAAACTGACTGACTCGGGAAATAAGCCCCTGGTCAGGAAGTACGGCCTAGACCTCCAAATGTGGCCCCAAATTTTGGCTGGGAGAAAAGATCAAAGGGCCTATGCCATCTGTCACCTAAGACCTAATCCTTTAATAGAGCCCAAACACCCACTTGGAACACAAGGGCTCTGAGGATGTCACTTAATCACCGTGTGAGGGGACAATGACAGAGGGCACTCCATTTTGGAAGAGAGAGGCACTTTACAAGCAGACATCTAAAGAGGTGTGGGAAACAACAGGCTTCTCAGAGAAATAGCAAACCCCTTACCAAAATAACAAAATGCAGCTGCACAGTGGCAGGGCCCCAAGGCCAGGACGAGTTGGGCAAAGTTCCAAGGCCAGGAGGAGCTGACCAGACCCTCCTGGAATGTCCAGGTCAATAAGGAGAAGGACAGACAGGTGGTTGGATTTAATGAGAAGCTGGTCAGGCGCCAACCAATCACAAATGTAGTTTCAAGGTAGAATAGCTGGACCTAAGCCAGACAGAGCCCTGTGTCACCTCCTGGACGTCAGGCATTGTTTGGCTTAGCTCTTTCGCTAAGTCCCACCTGTCAGGCAGCTTTGCTGTCCTTTCAATAAACTTTGTGCTTGTTTTACTCTTAACTCCTGGTCCGGCATCTTCAATCGTTGACTATGCCAGGACACGAACTCAGGATCCAGTATCAACAGAACCTACAGGGAGTTTTCTGCCTTGTTTTCCAGAACAAGAACAGAACAGGGTCACCAGTACCTGCCTCCCCCTGGAAATTCCCTTCAAACCGTGCATTCTAAGGATTGCTCCCTCCAACCCGAGCGCCCCCTCCTCATCACCCTGGCTTCAGCACAAGGCCCCAGGTGCTCCACTGGCCTCACGTCCAGTGATGGTCACACGATTCAAGCAGACCAACCCAAAGCCTGCCCCGGGACTCCTCTACTGTGGGCTGCAGAGGGGAGATGCCCCTGACTGCGGGACTCACTGGAAGAATGAACATGCAGTGTGGTCGGGGACCGGGGAATCCGGTAGGAGGGATGAAGCTACATGGCAGGACAGACAGACAGGGGGGCTGGGGCTGAGAGTCTGGTGGCCCTGGGCTCCTGGCTTGTGAACCAGGAAGTTGCTGTGCCCTTTCCTACGTTTAGAGGGAGTTGCAAAAGGGTTCTGCCACCTGGCTAGTCCCGAGGTATTCTGTTTCTTAAAAACCAGGGAAAAGCAAACGACCTAAGGCCCAGGGTGCTTTGTCACCACTGGCTGGGGAAAGGGCTCTGATATCAGGGCACAGAGGACAATGAGCAGAAGCTCTGGGCCTGGCTGTAACTCAACTCCAGCCCTCATTAGTTTTGTGATCATGGTGTGCGGTCAGGTCAGGAAACAGCCACTCTGACCCTCGGGCTCCTCCTGTCACAGGGGCTGATTGTATTTCCTTGGAGGCTGGTGAGAGGCCGAGGTGAGGTCTGGCGTGTGACTTCCCTCCCTTTCCCTCTCTGTATCTTTTCTTATCTTCCACTAGGTCTCAGGATTAGAGGGGGACAAAGTGGCTTATCTTGGCCTTAAATTTTGCTTCAAAGCCTGTGGGTAGCTGTTGGCCTTTCAGGGTTGGGAAGCTCTGGGCCCTGCTGGGGAGGTTGAGGAAAGGAGTGCTCAGTCCTGGTGTTGGGCCACTCAGTCACAGCGACATGGCGGCCCAGCCAGGACAGGCTGGCTCTGCAGGAGACTTATGAAGCAGGACATCCCCAGCAGGTACAGAGGGACTTCCCAGAGGCACGAGAGAACTGTCGTTTATTTACCTCATTCATACAGCAGAGAGCAGAGCCCCTGGGTTGGGTGAGGGATAAAGATGAGTAAGACCCAAGCCTGGTCCTCAAATGGCTAAATGCCACCACAACTTGTGTGTGCAGGTGTCTCTGTCCTCCTCTTACCCTGCCTCTCCTCGTGACCTCTCCCGGATTGATTATGGATTAGCAGACAACCTCCTTGCTGGTCCCCTCCTAGCACCCTGTGACATGATCATCAGCAGATCGAGTCAAAACTCTCTGGTTAAAACTCTCCAATGCTGAGGCTGGAAGATCACAAGTTAGAGGCTAGGCTGGGCTACATAGCAAGACCATGTCTCAAAACAAACAAAATAAAACTCCCAGATGCTTTAGTCTGGCACTTAAGACCTTCAAGACAGAGCTGCAGCAAATTTGCAGACTGTCCCCTGACATGTTCTGCCTTTCCCTGCTTTTCTGCTATCAGACTGAACCGAGTCTGTACATTGGGCACCAGCAACCCCCCGACACTGGGTTCTTACCTAGCCATTTCATCTTCCTGCCCCTAGCATTTTATGTCCCAATCTTCTGTGATCTGGAGGAGCTCCTTGGAGCTCCATATCAAATGTCACCTCCTTGGGGAGTTTCCTCACTGTCTCTAGTTAGTTATGAGCCTCCCCTCTCCACCAAGCTCCAAGCACTGACTTTGTGTCTGTCTTACTGCACTTGAACCCAGTGCCTCTGGGAGGTGGAGCTGCAGTGTTCTGTGTTTGCTGTTTAACGCTGAGAAGCCTCCCTGAAGCAGGTTTTTACTGCTCTTCCCCAAACTTGGGTCAGCCCCTGCTTGGTTATACCCAAAGGTAATGAATGGTGGCAGGGGCCCTCTGGGGACTGACCCAGGCTGCCCTTCTGGTGTCCTCGGCATATAGAACTGGTCTCAGCAAACCTTCCCAGTGCAAGAAGACTCCTGAGAAGATAGGAAGCCAGCCCCTGCCTTCTTGTCCTCCCAGGGCTTTGGGCTGGTGGAGTGGCTCAAGTGATAGAGTGCCTGCCTAGCAAGTGTGAGGCCCTGAGTTCAAACCCCAGTGCCACCAAAAAAAAAAAAAAAAAAAAAATCCAAGGGCTGACATTCCTGCAGAGTCTGCTGTCTCCCCCCAGACATAGAGGTCCCAAGGAAGCCATGAGAGATCAGAGTTCAGGGCTGGGCAGGATGTCTAGACTGCATCTAGCCCAACACCAGGCCAGGAGCCCATGGTCAAGTCCATGCTTAGGCTGGAGCCTCCTGGGTCCCAAAGCCCCAGCAGATGCTCAGAACAGTGGGAGGAGTAATGCTAAGAAGAACTGTCTGGAACCTAGCATACGGCCTGTACAGCCCTGCCATGGGATAGTGGGCCAGGATACACCAGGTGGGCTGCAGTGAACTCCCTGCGTGGTCCTGTGGCATGGGTGCAGAAAACTGGGGTCAGGTACTGGGTGAGCAGGGCCCCAGGTGTCATTCTGTCTCTGTCTGGCATTTGGAAGTAGAGCGTAAGCCTGGAGCGAGCCTTGGGATCACTGGACAGTGTGGGTATGAGGAGGCAGAGGAGGACGCTGTTAGAGTCTGTCCTCACCGAGGCATCTCTGGGCTGGAACAGGTAATCGGAGAGAAGAAATCCAAGCCCAGTTCTACAAGAAGCAGCTGAGTGTTTCCCACCAGAAGTGCCCTGTGCTCAGACTGCCCAGTTTTAAGTTGGGGCCAGGTCTCTGCCATCCGATGACAGGATCTTCGAAACAGAATTGTGCCTTTGAGTTCAATGTCCCCAATAATATTTTGTGTGGCTGAAAATGTACAGTAAATTTTGTTGGAAGAAAGAGGGGAGAAGAGAGGGGAGGGAGGGGAAGAGGGAGCTCTAGCTTGCAGCAGGACTGACAGGTAGTGTTCCTGGCCCAGGTGGGCTGCGAGGGACTTGGAAGAGGACCACCCCCAGTCGGTCATTATCCTCTCTAGGCCCAGAACCCCTGCAGCAAGTCAGGAGCTAAGGTCTCAGCAGGAGCCACCATGTGGCCCCCACTCCTTGTCCTCAGCCTCTGGCTAGTCTATCATGTGAAGTTTCATCTTTAAGGAAAAGAATGCACAAATAGCTTACTTTTCTGCATATGCAGAGAGTGGCACAAACATGTCACCAGGTGAGCACATTGTGGGGCTCCTCCCAGTATCCCGAGTCTCCCAGGAATCAGCAGGGATCTCAGCCCCTCCCTTCAGCCTGGCCCTGCCTTGATGACCTGGGCTCCCCACCTTGCTGGAGGCCTGGCTGTAGCTGCCAGCTGCTCTTGACCAAGAGTCAACTGACCTGAAAGGCAAAGACATCCTTGACCAGAGCTTCCCCAAACACGAAGATGGAGCCGGCCTCTGTGTAGCTCAGGAAGACCTGGGAGGACAAAGAACAAAAAAACCCGGAGTGAGTGAGGAAGGGAAAAGGCAGGAGAGGGGATGCTGAGGACACAGGCACTCCTGGCCTCAGGTGGGCTGGCCCTGGGACACTGGCCTCCTGGTCCCCACCAAGGCAGGATGGCCCAGCAACATAAATCAGAGCACTAGTCATGGGCTCCTGAGAAGAGACAGCCTTTGGTCTGATTTACAGAAATGCTCTGAGATGAGAGTCATTAGGACAATGGGGAAGAGACAGCAGAGGAAGCAAGGCTCTGACCCACATGGGGGGCTGTCACAGGTATGCCTTTTGCTCCTGCTCAGTCCCCAACGAGCCTGTCCCCATCCCAGCTCACTTCTCCAGGAGATCTGTGTTCCGGCCCTGAGCTGGCATTGTGACATCAGGGACAAGTCATTTCTCTTGTCCAGGCCTCAATGTTCCTCTCTATAAAATGGGGCCATGACCAGAGTGCTACCTCTCAGCCTTCCTCTCCACAACACCCAGGCAGGTGTGGTCAGCAAAGGACCCGCTCCACCCCACACAGCACTGGACAGGGAGGTACGGAGAGGCTGCGCTGTGTCCTCCATCATTTGTATCAGAACAGCAGGTCATGATGGCTGCACGACAATGTGCATGAAACTTAACGATAGTCAAAATGGCAGACTTTATGTAATGTAAATTTTACAACATTAAAAAATGGAATTTAAGAGCAGTATTTCTAAACAGACACGTACAAGTAAACCACTTGCAGTTTCTCTTTTAGCTTTTTTTTTTTTTCCAATACTGAGGTTTGAACTCAGGGCCTTCATCTTGAGCCACTCCACTATCCCTTTTTTGTGATGGGTTTTTTCGAGATAGGTTCTCATGAACTATTTGTTCAGGCTGGCTTTGAACTGGGATCCTCCTGATCTCTGCCTCCTGAGTAGCTGCGATTACAGCTGTGAGCCACCAGCGCCTGGCTATTTTAACTATTATAAATTCCCAGGCATTGACGGTTGCTGTGGGCCACTTGCCCTGTTACCCTAAGAACCTCCCTGTCTGGGACTCTCTTCCAAATCTTCCATAGTCAGACTCTGAAGTGACCCCTCTGTCCCTTGGACCAGAGGTTCCAGCCTGAGAGAAGCAGCAGCTGTGCCAGCCCCGGGCTGACCCCTCAGTTGGGGTCCCAGTCCTCCCCTGCCCTCCGGGTCCCAAGCCTTCTCTATGGCCTCCCCAACCATCTTCCCCCGACCAAGTGGTATCTCCCACTCCCTAGCAAGCTGAGGGGCTTGGGGGAACCAGGCCCCACGTACACACCTGGATCTGGTCGCCCAGCCACTGGAATGCAATGAATCCTGGTTCTGTCCTGATGACGAACAGTCCAAGCACAAACTGTAGGGCGAGGCCCCAGGACACAGCCCTCCAGGACACCTGCCACCAGATAAAAAGGTCCTGGTGAGCTCAGCTCAGCTCAGCTCCCTGGGGATCCACAGAGAATGGAGTGGGGCTGAGGGCAGAGCGTGCAGGGAGCTGGAGGATGGCGAGATTTTTGCCTGCCTGTAACCTCAGGCAGCCGGCTGCCCAGTCACACGTCCCTTGAGGTTCAGAACCGGCTGTGCTCTTGGCAGCAGGAGTTGGGTAAGAGTCTCACCAGGACCTGTGTGCAACCTGCCCAGCCCTGTGTGTGTGCCTGGGTCACAGCTTCAGGAGGTGATTGTCTGCCTGGCCAGGCCCACCTCAGCATGTCAACCCCAGCCACCTGGACCCTTCCTGCTGCCCTCCAGGAACAGGACTGCACTCCCTGGGAGGCCTGCCCTGCAGCAGACAGCTGGATTCCCTAGGGATGTCACTGTCTCTCTCTGCCTTACCCACGTCTCCCAAGCTCAGGTGACCACCAGCCCCAGGGAGGCAGCTGTGACCTGGGGAGGAAGAGCTACCAGTGAAACAGAGAGGGCTCCTGGTCTGGTTGCTAAGCCTCAGAGACACAGAGGGGATCCCTGCTTCCTGCCCGGCCGGCAGGGCCTTGCTAAGGGACGAGTGGGCTCTTCTGGGCATGACAGTCACCAGAGGGCTTGTGGAAATGAGGTGGCTGGCTCAGTAGGGCTGGAAGGGGCCTAGGAACCAGCATTTCTAACAATTTCCATGGTGACGCTGATGCTACTGGTTGGGGAAGCAGACTTTGGGAACTGCTATTTCAGGCTAATGATTCCAGAAAACCCTTGGCTCCTCAGATATACTCCAGGCTCATATCCCGTATTTTCTGGGGTGGGAGATAGGTCCTGAGCCCACAAGTCCAAGGACCAGGCTTGCCCTGTCCAAAAGACATGTCCCCAAGGAAATAAATACCCCAGTGACCTCCCCAGCAGGTCTCCAGGTGGAGCCCACTGCTTTCTAGGGAGTTTGAGGGCTTCTGCAAAGAAAGGTGACTTCCCACTTGGGGTCCCTAGTCCCTGATATCTCTCACCAGCTTCACAGGGAGCCTGGCCCAAGGCACAGAGCCTCGAGGGCTCTCCCAGCAGGAGGTTCTGTGTCCCACTCCAGCTCCAACCCAGGGATAAAACAGGGAGCATTGACTGACATCCAGCCTGGACAACTAAACACTCACAGCGCGGTGATGCTTGGAGCAGGCAAAGAGGAGGGTGATGAACACACAGATCCCCCCAAAGGATACCAGCTGCTCAGGCCGCTGAGCGGTGTCCAGAGACAGCCACAAGACCAGGCCTAGGACAGCAGCGAGGGCCAGAACTCTGCGGGAGAGAGGCAGAAAGCCATCGCCTTCAGCATCGCGCGCACACACACACCCACCCACACCCCCAGACCCTTCTCCATACTTTAGGCAGAGCCTAGAGTTGGAAAAGACGCTCTTCCTGGCCCTCTGTGATTCCAGGTGCAATTCCCTCCCATCCCTTTGAGAGGTTCTTTCCTCAGATGAAATCACTGATCAGGGCTCAGCTCCACAGTTTTCCCTCCGAGCAGCTCTTCCCAACTCTGGTGCTGTGCAGTGTGCCGTCACTCCAGAAAGCCCAAGTGCTAAGGCCAAAGGCATCCACGAAGTACTGCTAATTCTGCAGACATGCAGGATGCAAGAGGAGTGGAGGCAGGGCTTCCTCTGCCCAGAGTTCAAAGCCAGGGGGCCCAGCAAAGACCTGCTGTAGGGGTGAGACTGCCCCCGAGATTCCAGAATGTCAGAGCCTTCTGCACGGGAAAGCCTGAGGACCAGTGAGCAACTCCAGCCCAGGAGAACAGACGTGTGGACTGCACACAGCAAGACCGTGGGTGGGTTGTCCAAGACATTGGGAGCCCAAGCACCCCAGTGTGTCCAGGAGGTGGCACATGGAGTGAAAAATTGTTCTGGGTCTGAAGAGTTGGTGGCATGCCTTCTCGGACCTCAAATTTGCCTCGCACGGCCCTGTTATTCTGTCTTCCTGCCTCTCTCTCTCTCCCTTTTGAACTATGAATGCTTCCCCTGGGCCTGTCTATCCCTGGAGAGCTGAAAGTGTACCTTGAGTCTCAGATGAGACTTTTGAGTTGAGGTTGGACTGGGGGCTATTGGCTCAGAATGATTATATTTTGTATATACCAAGGGTGTGAACTTTGGGGGTGCCAGGCAGAATGCTACAGTTCGAATGTGGTTTATTCCCACCAAAACTCATGTTGAAGAGTTGCTGGAGATGGTGACTCACACCTGTAATCCCAGCCAAGGGGAAGACATAGGTAGGGGATCACAGTCTGTGCTGGCCAAAGCAAAGCGTGATAAGCTGTCTGAAAAAATAACTAAAGTAAAAAAGAGCTGAGGACATGGCTCAATGGTAGAGCACCTCTCAGCGAGCACCAGGCCCTGAGTTCAAACGCAAGTACCATGAAAAAAACCAAAACACCTCGTGTTGACATTTAATTGCAACTGAGGCAGTGTTGAGAGAGGCAGAGCCTTTGAGAAGTGATCAGGTCGTTGGGAGAGATGAATGCCTTCCTTGAAGGAAGGACGGGCTTGCTTCCCGAGAGAGGGTTGCTGGGAACCAAGGCTGCTCTCCTGCTCCATCTCTTCCACACACATGGGCGGCTGGCCCTCTGTTTTCCTCCGTGAGGGGAAGCAGTTCAAAGCCCTCACCAGAAGCCGAGCAGAGGCCAACACCATGTTCTTGGACTTCCCAGTCTTCAGAGCTCTGAACTAAACAAACCTCTATTCTTCATAAATCTCCCAGTCCGTAGCGTTTAGTTATAGCAACAGAAAATAGGTTAAGTCGGGATCTGACGCTCTCTTCCCTACCTCTCTCTCCTATCTGACAGCATCTCCGTGGTTCCAGAGCTCCATGGAATCTAGTTTGAAAGTCAAGGGATCCCATCCCAAACTGCTGTCCAGATATATGGCCATCTACATCAGAATCCCAGAATCCTCTGGGGCTGATTAAAAATATCAGTCCCTACCCGGCCCCCAATCTAGCCTGCTGAACCTGACCCAGGGGGACCCTGGCTGCTGTGTGCTTAGCCTCGCACCAGGCGACCTGATAAGAGGCTCTGAGATGTCCCCTCCTCCCTGCACTGGAGGGAAACGGTCAGAGTCCTGTTTCAGCTGTCAGTCACCTGTCATAACAGCCAGATGAGACCTGGCAAAACACCACACAGGTGCTGCCTTTGAAGTCACTCAGCAACTCCTGCTCTGGGCTATAGGGCGGGTGGTGTTCTCCAGGGCACAGGAGCCCTCAGCGGGCCGGGCCAAGGCCCTCCTCCTCCAGCCCTGCCCGGGCTGTGAGCTCAACTCACCTCTTACACCAGAGGTTCAGGCGGGACCGGCTCCGGAGCCTCACACACCTCAGCCTTGGCCCCAGAAGCCTCTTCAGCAGGCCATGGGCCAGGAAGACGAGGGCCACACAGGTCAGCACAAAGAGTGCCAGCGCCCTCTGGAAATCCAGGAGGCAGGCGATGAGCAGGAAGGCCGCGTACGCTGGGGGATGGACACAGAGAAGTCAGTGTCAACCATGGCAAGGTCAATCCAGGCCCAGCAGCCCTCCCACTAGTGCCGCCTCACTCCACGCAGAGCACTGGGGACAGGAAGGTCACCCACGCTCTCTGAGGCTCGCTGTCCTCATCTGGAAATGGGAGCGTCATCCTTACTGTGACCAAAGGTTGTTAAGTGGTTGCAGGGGTGGGGGGAGTCAACCATCTAGTGTTTGCCTAGACCTGAGGCCTGGGCTCAGTCCTGAAGAGTTAGCTGGCAGAAGGTGTGTGAAGGGACTTTGCAAACCACAAAGTGCTGCCCGAACATGAGGGAGAGAAGAGAGAGGAGACCAGAGGTAAGACAGCCACCAGGAACCCATGGAGCACAGGCTGTGGTCTAGGGCCATGGGACCACACTAGGTCCCATGGAGGATGGGGCTGAACAAGTCAGTGACTTGGTGAGGGAGGTCACCCGTGTGTGCTGAGATGTTAGTGAATGACCACTTTCTTCCTGCAGTTTCTGTTTCTCCCTTTGCCTTTCTCTCCTGTGAGTGGCTGAGCCCAATCGATGCAAGCTAGGCCAATCGAGACCTCCCTGGTTCTTTGGCTGGACCCTTGGACAACAGGTATCTTCTTCTTCTATGACTGGGGACACGCGGCCATCCATGTTAGTCTGATCTGAGGCTAGAGCCCTCTTTACACCTGTGGAGAAAACCTCTCCATGCTGAGGAAGCCATTGCCATAGCTCAGGTGTGAGGTACTGAGGCACAAGTGTCAGTCCTCTCTCATGCCTGCCCCACAAAGCACATGAAGGGTCTCGTCGTGGAAGATAGGGTACAATAAAGCCAGAGGAAGTCACAACCACCCACGTACGGAGAGAGTCAAGGTCGGCCACAGCAAGGGACAATTTAATGATTGAGATTGAGTTCCTGCAAGCCAAGCCAAGGGTCCTGAGCAAGTATATCCCATCACAAACACCTGTGCATCTCAACCCTCACCACCTCCCACCACAACGCGTCTCTCTGAAGCGCTGTCTACACTTGCTGTCTACACCGCCTCTCCTCCCACTCACTCCAATCCTGCTTTTGTCCTCTGTCCTAAGTCCCCAGGCTCCTAATCCATGGACACTGCCAGCACTTGTCCCTCTGGCCTTCTGCAGAGTTGTTCTGGATTTCTCCCTCCTGCCTGACAGCCCCTTCTATGTGGCTGGCCTCAGGAAACTTCCTGTCCCGCAGATGGCCTGGAAGTGGAACCTCCCAGGAGACGTCCAGGTCTTTCCCTCCACCCGTGTTCCCCAGCTCTGTGGAGGGCACCACCCCATCGTCCAAGGAGGAACTCGAGGCAGCCTTGACCCCAGGTCTCTTTTCTCCTGTGCACCCAGTCAGAGGTGCACCAGTTCTGCTGCTGTTCTTCTGCTCCAGCCCTGTTCTCCTTCACCACTTGCTCTCAGCGTCTCCTTCCTCCTTCCCCACCCATCCCTTCCAGGGTTCCACCTTGGGAATGTCCAGGTGGCATTCCCAAGCCATCAGTGGCTGACTCTGGACTTGAGAGTAAAATCCACATCCCCGAGCACACCCGGTCCCCATCTGTTGGCCTTCCATCTACAAACTTTACCCTCCAGCCACACCAGCCCACACCCTGCCGGTCCTCACCTTTGCTCCTCTCCTCCTCTACGCGCCATGTTTCTCACCCCTTATTGCCCTGCTCCACCCATGAACCCCAAAGGCACCTTCCCTTGGAAATCCTCCCTGATGCCCCCCCCCACCCGCTGGGTGCTCCCCTGGCTTGCTGCATTGTATGGGTGATTAGTGGCCCACCTTGCTGCTGAGGGGGCAACTGGTCTGGCTTGTTCCTGGCCTGAAGCTGGCCCTGAGCTTGGGTAAGGGATGGCTCTGTCCTGAAATGTGGAGATGGGAGACTGTCCTGGGTAGAGTAGGTCCCCGGCTCACCAGTACAAAGCAGTCCTATGCAGATCCATCGGAACAGCTGGGCATGGTCCTTGCAGAAACTTCTTGCTCTTAGGGCCGGCTGCAGGCTCCTCAGGGGGAGAGGGCCAAAGGGTTCACAAGTAGCTCCCTGACTCCCACCCTGCTGGGAGTCCTCTATACCTCCAGGTAGAGGCCACCTGGTTTGTCCCCAGTACAATGTGATGGGGACAAGCCAGGTGCTGACCTTGACATTCCACAGAGCTGGAAAGCAACCCCAGCTCAGGACAAACTGAGGCATGGTCTGTATAGCTGGGCCTTCAGCACCTGGAGCAGCTCCTACAGGCCCCACTTCCCCCGGGAAGACACCCTGCTTCCTTAACTGACAAGGAAGAGTCTCATCTTCCTATCCTGTTTCTGTGTGTGCACCTGCCCCCAGAGCAAGGTGGAAAGTGTCCCAGCTTTGCATTGCCCCCTTGGGATAGGGACACTGATCTGAGTCCTCAGTGCCTGTTCCAGACGGAGGATGGGAGAAGTAGCCTAGCCTGGCCCACCTCCACTGCCTGGGAGGCCCAGAGCCAATGCAGGTCCTTGCTGGTACCGAGTCACCTCTGGGGACCTGCGGACTGAGCACCAGCAGATAGAGGGACCCCTCCCCAACTGCCACCCTCATCCTTCATGCTCTGCTCGCCTCAGGATCTGACCAGAGAGGACTTGGGTTCCAGGCTCACACCAGACGCTCTGGGCTGCTCCCTTTCCCTCCGTGTGAAGTGAGAGGCCTGGGGTATAAGAGTTTTAAACTGAGCTTTGGGGGGAGGTCCCCCAGGTGCCCCAGAGACTGAATGGGGTAGAAAGACTGGCCTGGCTGGGCCGACTAATGTCAGCCAGAGCAGCCCGTAGTCCGTATCAGGGTTCCTGCTGGGATATTTTCTTCTGGCTGCTTGTAAGCCCGTGGGGCACCATGGACGGCCTGGCTCACCTCTCTGGCAGAGGACAGCACAGCAAACTTGCCTGGGAATGCTGGCTGAGGCCTCGGCTCCTCCCTTCAACAACGGTGCACAGGGCACCCACACCTGCCAGGAAGCCAGGCTCCCACCCTGTCCCCAGGCCAGCCCGTGTCTCTCACAGAGATCACTTACCATCCAGAGAAAAGCTTCCGGCCTGGCTTGCTCCAGCTGCCCCCACCCTCTGTGGGGCTCAAATCACTGCCCGGGAGGCAGCCTTCCTCCTAAAGCCAGCAGGGAGCTATCAGGGAAGCCATCCCGCCCAAGGGACAGCTCCAGCTCCCACTGGCACCTCATGAGTGGGCCGAGGTGGGACTCCGACTTTAGCCCAGGCTAGGACTACAGGGTTACTTAATTAACTCCTGCAGAGCCTACTGTGTGCCCTGAGTCTGGCAAAGTTGGGACTTTGCTAGGGCTAGCTGGAGGCTGAGAAGAAACCTGTAAGGAAAGTCCTCTGCGGGGCCACCTCCTCGCGGGACTCAGGACACTGTTTTCCCCATAGCCATGGTGTCCTTTGCGTGTGAGGGGGAGAATATTCTTGCAGGTGACACTGTGTAAGGTGGCCCGGGAGCACAGGGCAGTGCAGCTGTCAGAAGTTGGGAGGGTAGAGATGGCAAAGCAGTAAGCTCCTCAAAGGCCGAGGATTCCTCAGCGACCTGTCCTCTGACACCTGGCTTCTCATCTTTCAGATCAAGCGTTCCTTCCTCACTCACTGGGACCTTTGCTGACCTTTCAGGGTAGGACAGGCGACAGTGGCACAGGGTAGGTGCTCAGGAAATGTTTAAGGACTGGAGTAAAGGAGGCTGCTTTTTGTTGGGGAGGCCGACACATCAGAGGTTCCCTGGCCGTATGAGCAGAGGCCGGGAGGAGGAAGCAGAGACGGTGGTGTGAGGGAAGACAGTGGACACAGGGGTTTCCCACCACTATCACCACCACCACCGCGGGCTTGGCTCAAGCCAAGGAGACCCAGGAGGCCAAGACACAGCTGGGGAAGGGGACAGACCATGCTTTCCAAAAACTCAGCTCCCATGTTCTCTAGGCCATGGGCCTCGGGTGTGAGAGAGATGGACTGCCTTCGGCTTGGCGTGTCATCCGCCATGTGCCAGACCTTCCAGCTGAAAGAGAAACAGAGGGAGGATCCAGAGCTGAAGGAGGCCACTTGAGGCCAGGTGAGGGGCCTGAGACAAGAGGAGGGAAAGGGGAGAGGGTGGGCGGTGGGGGAGCAGGTGCCTGGTGGCACCAGAGCCATGCCTGGGGACTGTGTGTGGCACCCCAGACCTCACTCTTCCCTGTGCCCTGGGCCGCAGTCTGGCTCCCCAGCACGTGGAGACAACCTTCCTGCCCTCACTTCGGAACTTGTGCGAGGAAAGTCTTTGAAAGCTCCAGCTCCAGGCAGGAAGAGCACATTGTGCTCACTTCACAAGGAGGGAAAGAAAGGACTTGTGCCCGGACCTGAAGAGAGGCCCTAGCTTTTATCCCTCCCTAGAGCAGGTCAAAATCACTGCCATTAGGTGAAGTAGTCATCATACCATACTTTCCCAGGCATTAAAGATGGGGTCAGAACATATTCAACACATTATTCTGGTCCCTGGATCCAACCATACCTGAAACCTCCCCTATCCCTGGACTTTTCCATCCCAAAAGCCAATGTACTTCCTTTTTGCTGAAGCTGTTTATAGACTATGGTTCATCTGTAAATAAAAGTCCTAGGGCTGGGACTGTGCTTAAGTGGTACAGCACCTGCCCAGCAAACATGAAGCCCTGAGTTCAAATCCCAGTACCATCAAAATTTAAAAAATAGGAGTTCTAAGCTGAGCATGGTGGTGCACACTTGTAATCCCAGCACTTGGGAGGCTGAGGCAAGGGCTCTAAGTTCAAGGCCAGCCTGGGCTACATATAAACAAAACCAAACAAACAAAAAGGAGTCCTAACTAAGATCCCCTTCCCCATTCCTGCTCCCCCTGTTTCCCTTGCCTTGGGGAGCACCCTGCTCTACCCAAACACCAGCTGGGTAAGCTGACATCCCCAGACACAGAGCACATGTGCACACACGGACAGGTGCAGGACGGACACACGGAGCGCCATGCACAGGCACGGCCTGGGAACGTCGTGCTACCTGTGCACACGAGCACACAGCTGCTGAGGGGCAGCTACCTACTCACATATTTCTGGTGAACAGGTGGCTCTCGGAGAGACGGAAGTGCAGGTTTCTGTGGGGACACTGTGGGTCCAGCCGGCTTGCTCTTTGGCCTGTCTTGTCATTTCAGCAGAAATTCCTGGGCAGAGTCCAGAGTTGGAGTAGGTTGGGCCTTCCCAGAGCCCAGGGCCACAGCTGGGGACAGGGACCCCCAACACTGTCACATGGACAAAGGAATGGGGGGAGCAGGACCACTGCAGCTCCTGCCCTCCATCTGCTGCCTTCCAGAGGTGCCTTCCTTCCACCCCCCTGTTCCCAAGCTGACCTCTTCCTGGCCACCTTCTCCAGGAAGCCGTCTTTGCTATCCTTGCAGCCTCCCCTTCTCCGCTTTGCTCTGGCCCCCTTTCATTTAGTCCTTATTTTGCATCTAGGTCTCCTTTTCTCACTGGATCAGTAATTATTGTAACAGCCACCCAGTGTCCTAAGCTGGAAGGCAGCAAGCAGTGTGACTGTCACAGACAGATGAAGTGTTTCAGGTCTAAGCATCAATGCAGGCACTAAAACAAGACAAAATGGCACCGTTTCCCCTTCATTTCAAGTTTTTGGTTTTTTTTTAACTAAACACCTAAGCAACGGTGTGCAAAGCCAAGGGACAAACGCCTTAGTTTCTCAGTCCTCCAACTAAACATTAAACTCACCTGACAGAGTTGACATCACCTCTTTAATAATTAATTGCACTGCCGCTGGGCAAGGTGGCACATGCCTGTAATCCCAGCACTCAGCAGGTGGAGGTGGGAGATCACAGGTTTGAGGCCAGCCTGGGCAAGACCCTGTCTCAACAAGAAAAAGAAAAAAATGAATGGTTCTCACTCCAGACAAAATCTTTTATGATTCAAAAAACTGATAACACAGGGGATGGGGGTGGGGGGCTATGTCTGGTTTTTGGGGAAAGAAGAAGCATGGAGGGCGGAGGTGCCCTTCTCTCTGAAAATGTTCCTCTTCATCAGTCTCTCTGATTACCAGAGCACCACACATGCGTCATTAAACATGGAAACGTGACAAAAGCACGCAGGACACAGGAAGTTAAATCCCAGTGTCCTCTGGGATGACCACTGCTGAGTCCACTGCGCGTTCTCCGTGTCCCCGCTGTCTGCTGTTTCATATTATTCATTTTACAATGGGGGCCCATACTACTCAGCATTTTAAAAATTCGCTTTTTCCAGCAGGGATCTACACACTCTGTCCGGGCTATGTGGCCCCTTCGTTGTGAATTAGATGTTTGCCAGGCTTGGTGGCACAGGATGGTCATCCAGGACTCGGGGGATGACAGTCCTGTGATAACATCATCATTTCTTTCATTTGAAAAGCCCATTTCCTGTCCAGGCACAGTGGTGCGTAACTGCAATCTCAGCTACTCCAGAGGCAGAGATCAGGAGCCTCGAGGTTCGAGGCCAACTGGGGTAGCAAGGCCTCCATCTCAACAAACAAGCCAGGGGTGGTGATGCATGTCTATGATCCCAGCTATGTGGGAGAAGGATGGTGATCTGAGGCTAGTCCTGAACAAAAACGTGAGCGCCTATCTGAAAAATTGCTAAAGAGAAAGGGCTGGGGGCACGGTTTAAGTGGTAGAGCACCTGCCAAACACCTGCCCTGAATTCAAATCCCAGTAAAGAAAGAAAAATGGGTTCCCTACCACAGTAGAAACGTCTGATGGTAAGTTCGGATGACGTTGAGCAAGATACAGACTGGGAAACAGCCTGTCACCCACGACAGACGCTCTGTGGGAGGGCTATGCCGTCTGAAGCATGGCGCCGTTCAGCAGCGCTGCAACCACCCCGGGGCTCCAGGGGAAGGCGTGTTCCAATGCTTGGCATGGCTGGCCAAAGATCCCAAGCAGCCTGGCTGGTCCTTCCTACACGTCGGGAGAAGCTGGGCACGAGTGGCCACCGTCCAACTCCAGATGGAAGCCCAATCTCGGCCACAACGGAGAGAGTAAGGCCACCTGGTCCCAGACACCCTCGAGGGTTCGAGGCCACAGGCAGGGGGACTTTTACCCGAGCAGCTCAGAGATCTCCGTTTGCAAATACGTAACGGGTTGCCGCTCTGCACGGGACATGTCCTGGTTCTGCTCCTCCGCCTCCCTCTCCCACTCTTTCCGCGTGGGAGACTTGCTCAATGGTGGTGCACAAACCAAGGGACGCCATCGCTCACCCCGCCTGTTGGGGGGTCCGGGATGATGTCCCCAGCTTGCCGGGCTCTCTCCTCTGCGTGCACCATTTTCCTCAGTCGCTGGGGGCCTATACGTTTGGGCCTCCATCAGGGTCTCCCTGATGGCTGAGACCCTGCACTGAGTCACCGTTAACAAGCTGATTAGTTCTATGGGCAAAAATAATTCTTCCATGCTCTCCCTGTCGTGGCCACTCACAAAGCCATGAGGAGGACCTTAGTCCTCCTGGGGAGACAATTTCCCTAAAGCCAGCAGTGTCCATACTGACCTGTCAGCAAGTAAGTCACGACAAGTCAAATACGATTGTCAGGAAGAACAAAAGAGACACCTCCGAGTGTCATCCTCTAACGCTCAGATGTTGGAATTTTCAAGCGTCTCCCTCCGCCCAGCTGGCATTCCTAGAGCTGAAGGTAGGACCCACCTCCACCCCTGTCCTACTGTCACTAGGACCCAACTGCTCCCTGAGAGCCTGCCAGGATCCCCTGCCTCACTCAGAAGCACCCTCGCCACCTCGCCATGCTGCAGAAGCAAGTGTCCTCACTCCGCTCCCTGCGTCCCCAGGGCTGCCCGCCTCCCCCAGGGAACGAGCTGGAAAGCTGGTGTTCAGGGTGGATTGGGCAGAGATCTTGGCTGGCGACCCTCCGCCTGGAATGCAGGAAACAGTAGGACTCCTCCTGCTGGGAGGAGGAGGGCCAGGTGTGAGGGAGCCCTGAGACGGTCAGTCCTATGGTTCCAGGAGATGGTGACAATGGGCTCGCCTGCGCACTTGGCAGGTGACAGGCTCTGTGCTGAGATCTTCAGCTGAACTGTCTTAATGAACCCTCGCTCCTGATGACCCAGCCAGGTAGGAACAGGCCACCATTTTCCCTACCTGCTCTCTGGGAAGGTGTGGGGGCGGGGAACAGCTACCCCAAGGAAGCAACTATTGAGAAGTCAGACAGCCTGGGGCAGAGCCAGGGGTCACGCTGCGTGCTTGTCTGTGGGAGGTCCACTCCACGTTACCATCTCGCCTGCTACACGCGGGCAGGATGGATTCTGGGCCCAAACTTGAACCTATCACTGTTCTCTGGTCAGACTCTGTGCTAACAGGGACGCAGTGTCTCTAAGTGACTTCCTAAGTGAGACCAGTCCAGGGCTGACTAACTGGACATTCAAACGTCCAAAAACTCAACTGCTCCAAGAACATACAGTGCCCTGATGGTCCCAGTGTGGCAGGATGCCGGATGGGTCTGGGGCACATTTGTCGCCTGAGATGGTTGTCTCTTGGCAGGCAGGGAGTGAGGGACGCAGAGAGGGACAAGAATAAGAAGCAAGAATATCCTACAGTGAGTCAGACGGCACACTCTGTGTGCAGCTAGTCTCTCCTCGAGCCCAGCTTCTCGTGTCCTCTCCTCTGCCAGTCACAAACCAGCGACGGGAGAAGGAGGCACTGCCTCCGAGGGAGGTGGCTTCAGGGCAATGCTTCTGAGAAGGGCAGCTGTCAGCACTTAACCTGCTGCTCACAGAAAAGTGGCCTGGGCCGGCAGCAGAGGCCACCGCAGGCCAGGCCAGCTGCTTCTGTTGGCTCCCAGGCTAATGGAAGCAGGTGTGGGTCCCGTGGCACAGGCCATGACCAAGCACAGTCTCCTTTGCCTCCAGGGGTCCCCAGGAGGACGTGGGTTTGCCCACAAGCCTTTTTCCAACAAGAAGAATCTTTTTTATTTTTGGCAGTACTGGGGTTCGAACTCAGTGCCTC